GTTATAAATCCAGAAGGCTAAAAGATGAAGCAAGGAGATCTCCAAGTGCTTGGCATAACCCCTCTTCTTCACTTTCAAATTGTCTTTCAGGCTATTTCTAAATATGGATATAGTTCTCTTCTAAAAGAGAACTACAGAACTATTCATCTGCAAAAATCAGTGTTCAGTAATAGGCTGGCTGAGAGGTAAAAAGCAGAGGGAAAGTATAGTACAAGATAGTGATAAATAACAGATGAGCTTTATCTCTGACTGGGGCTGCAAGAGGATGGTGAAACTGATAGATGGCTAGGAGGAACAGGCACATTAGAGCAGATGATTCATGTAATTGTAGTGAGTCAGCTGTTGTGACAATGCTACGTTATAGCATGCACTCAAAGGAAAAAGGGATAGTGTGTACATGCAAAGCCTGCCTAAATGCTAATTGATTAAAGGCTGATAACAAGAATTGACTGTCTTGCATATCATAATAGGCATAGAGTTAAGGTATAGAGTTGAAACTAAGCCAATAGAGTGCCTTTTAGATAACTCCTAGAGTGCCTATTAGACAATATTTCTTTATCTCACGCTGAAAAATGTATAAAACATTGGTGAATCCTTTGTTCGAGGTTCTGGCTAGCTGGGACCCCTTTTGCTGAAGCTCTTCAATAAAAGGAAATTAACTCTGCACCTTGTGTCGTCATCTTCATTGGCTTTGGTGCCAGGCTCAGACCCAAATTTAGGGACAACAATCTGGGAGTTCGTCTGGGATCTACCATGCCTGGATTCAACTGGAGGGTACAAATGGCCAATAGAGGAGGGTCCCCAGATGGGTGAGAGTGGCTGAAAGGTATATTAATAGTCTAAAACAAATTCCCGATCAGTGATCAGGACTGTGTATTTCTGCATACGTCAGCCGCACCCAGTTACAGGGAAAACCCAGAGAAAATGTATTCTCTGTTTCTTTCTATCTTTAGAACACATAACTCCAACTGGGCAGATATTCAGACATTGATTGATGTTCTAACACTGGAAGAATGCAGATTGATGAGGGGAGGGGGGGCGCAATGGAGCAGAAATTAGAAAAAGAACATGATGATCCCCGTTGGGAAGGCTGCCTTACGAACCTCTTAGAATGGGGGCTTATGACCCAATCATCTTCACCTTGGAATACCCCAGTGCTACTCATTAAGAAACCAGATGGGTCATCCATTTTGTCCAGAATTTGAGAGGGGTGAATAAGAATACCCTTACCCTCCATATGGTAGTACACAACCCATATACCTTCTGGGTACAAATTGACCAAAAAGATAAGTGGTTCACAGTATTGGATTTGAAGGATGCCTTCTTTTGCATCCCATTGGCAGAAGAGAGCCAACCAATTTTTGCTTTTGAATAGTAAGATCCAATATCAGGTGTCCCCCATACAATATACATGGACCAGACTACTGCAATGATTTAAGAACAGTCCTACCATCTTTGGCCAATGCCTGACTAAGGACCTTTACAAGCCATCATGGTGAAGGAATATTCAGCTTTACAATATGTGAATGATTTACTTTTGGGAGCCGATACAAGAGAAAAATGTATAAAGGGGACTAAATTGCTCTTGAATTGGCTAGTGACTTGTTGCTATAGACAATACTTCTTTATCTTGTGCTGAAAAATGCATAAAAACTTGATGAATCCTTTGAGGTCCTTCCATTTTGCTAGCTGGGACCCCTTTTGCTGAAGCACTTCAATAAAAGGAAATTAACTCTATGTCTGGTCTTCTTCATCAGCTTTGGCACCAGGCTCAAATCTGAATTTAGGGGCAACAATTGTGTTCAACTACTTGTAATAACCGCCATCATCATTGCTAACATCAGAAGCAAAATGGCACCTATTCCAGGGGCGAAATGCTCCCAGTTCGAACCGGATTGCCCGATCCGGTAGCGATGGAGTCAGGTGGTTCGGAGAACCGGTAGCAAAAATCCCTGCCCTCCCCCCCATGCCCAGCTGAGCCGCACAATCATCAGAGGCTTTTTTTTTTACTTTTAAAAGCATTTTTTCTGCAACCTCTTCGGCCAAAAAATGCTTTTTAAAAAAAAAAAAAGCCTCTGATGATCGCGCGGCTCAGCTGGGATTGTCAAAGGCTTTTAAAAGAAAAAAACCCTTTTTTCCTTTTAAATACCTCTGACGATCCAAGCTGAGTTGCCTGATCGGCAGAGTTTTTTTAAAAAAGCCTCTGCCGATCAGGCAACTCAGCTCAAAAGTCAGAGCCTTTTGAAAACATTTTTTTACAACCTCTTCGCCTAAGAGGTTGTAGAAAAAATGGTTTTAAAAGTAAAAAAAAATTGGCCACACCCACCCAGTCACATTACCCACTCCCACCAAGCCACACCCACAAAACCGTTAGTAACAAATTTTAGATTTCACCACTGACCTATTCCTCCTGCCCACTAAGGGGACATAAGTAACCATGCAGAATTGCACAAATAACTATGGAAACTGCAGAGACTCGTCATTGCAATACCCATACACAAGCTAATGCTTTTCATAATAAAAATAAGAAGTAAAATATATGGCCATGAAAAAACCCTTAACAGCAGAAGCAAAAAAAACAAAACAACTATACTCAATGGTAACACAATATCCAACTGCTGGAGCTTGGCTCTTTCCCAGTTTAAATAAACTTTCTGTGTGGCACACAACTATCACTCTTTCAAAAGAGCATTAAACCCATGTTATTAGGCTTCTGTTCAGAAAGCTCCTTTCAAGCATTACAGCACCCAGTCCCTGGAGCAAGGAGCTTGCTCACAACAACTTTAAAAGGCCAGTAGGAGTTTGGCAGATTCTAACTTGACTGCTGGCCCATCAATCATGCAAGTTGAGCTGTGCACGCATGCTTCAGCCAGCCACGTGTGTGGCCCAATTCCAAATAGGCCATGGCCCAGAAGTGGGCTGCAGCCCAGGTTTTGGGGACCCCTACCTTAAGGGGAAAAAGTAACAGGAGAGAGAAAACATTACCTGAACACTAAAACACTTAGGGACAACTGTAAACTGTTATCTCAGGTAGAAAAAAGTTATTGGGCCATATCAATGCAATAGTTAGAGGACCAGTAAGACAATGTTGTGTTTGTAAAAAAATAAATACCAAGCTTCATGGTTTGGATGTTCTAGCAACAATCCAGAAATTGAATTTTTAAAATCTCTTTGATGAATACAAAGCCAATCTTTCTAACAAGCAACTTGATAATTTAAGGCCATAATTATGCTATCGCCATCCCAAAGATACAGAATGTGAGCAAATTTAAGAAATTTAAGAGCTCTGTATTCCATTCTGCAGTGCTCAGCCAACTTCTCAATATCCATTATGCAAACCAGCAGAGGATATTATTTCATCATAGTAACTGTAGGTACTTCTGGAATATTTACAACGTTTCTTATGACATTTCATTACAAATATGAAAGAGAATGTCCTTGATATCCAGTTCACTTCCAATTTTTTTACAGTAAAATACTGGGTGCAGAATCAGATGACTGATTCTAAAATAACCTATTTGGGCATCATCAACGCTCCCTGAAACACTTATCATGATGCCTCCATGTAGAAACTGGGAGGCTGTGAGTTTTAGTTCTTCATAAGGCATGAAAGCTGTTTCACACTGACTTTGTGACTTTCTCTCTCAGCCAGATCCATCTAGCAGGTCTGTGGCACTCTCTCTGAATTAGGCATTTCCAGCAGTTCCAATGCTCAAGAGCTACAAGTATCCTAAGAGGATATGCCACACATCCGCTTATACTGATGGGGGTTACAATCATTTTAACAGAGAAACTTCTTGCTTGAAATTGCTCTTTATGTTCCTTTGCATCTAAGTAGGGTTTCCCAGCTTGGCGACTTCTAGGCGTGTGAACCAGGGGTGAAATCCCTGGTTCTGACAGGTTCTGGAGAACCGGTAGCAGAAATTTTGAGCAGTTGGAGAACCAGTAGCGGGAATTTTGAGTAGTTCGGAGAACTGACAAATACCACCTCTGGCTGGCCCCAGGAGTGGGGAGGGAATAGGGATTTTGCAGTATCCTTCCCCCAGGAGTGGGGAGGGAATGGGAATTTTGCAATATCCTTCCCCCAGGAGTGGGGAGGGAATGGGGACTTTGCAGTATCCTTCCCCCAGGAGTGGGGAGGGAATGGGGATTTTGCAGTATCCTTCCCCCAGGAGTGGGGAGGGAATGGGGATTTTGCAATATCCTTCCCCCAGGAGTGGGGAGGGAATGGGGATTTTGCAATATCCTTCCTCCAGGAGTGGGAGGGAATGGGGATTTTGCAGTATCCTTCCCCTGTCACGCCCAAGCCACACCCCCAGAACCGGTAGTAAAAAAAATTGGATTTCACCACTGATTTCAACTCATAGAAATGGCCATACTGGTTGTACAATACAATGGGAGCTGAAGCTCACACTCTTGAAAATGACCAAAGCTTGGAAACACTTCCAAAAAGAAAGAAAAAAGAGCTTGAATTTGCCCAAATCTGCCCGTACAGAGCAGCGCTGCCTAATTCCTTCATAAACCACCCTTCCCTAAAACCCCTCATAGAGATCAATTCCACTTGGACTTAAATAGGACTTCACGGGACACTTGTTACAAGACTGCACGACCGGGTGTGCTTCATTACGGGGGACCTTCCCTTCCTCCCACCCTCATCGACCCCCTTCTTTCGCGCGCTGCACCCCAGCCTCCCCTCCCCCCCCACCTCTCGCGCGAGAATTTGGGTCCCAGTGCATGCCGGAATCACCCTTGCGCAATAGGTGAGCTTCCCCTTCCCGTCATGCACCCGGAGACGCTCACCCACCAAGTCACGCGTGCGCAGCCCTACCGTTTGTTTGCGTTGGAGTGCGGGCGGTGAGAGCGAGAGCGAGGCCGTCCTGGAGGAAGAGGAGGAGGCGGCGGCGGCGGCAGGAAGAACGCAGCGAGCGTGCCGCCGTGGGGCGGGGCCGCCGGGCGTCGGCCTCGAGAGAGCGACTCGGCAGGTGGGGGGGGGAGATCTCTCCTTCCGGCGAAGAGAGGCCGAAGCGAGGCCTTCCTTGGCAACCTTCCGCTCCTGCCGTCTGGGCTGAATGGGGCTGCGAGCGCCTCCATCTCCTGCTGCTTCAAAACGGCCCAGTGGAGCCTTGGCCGTCTGTTAGGCGCTAAAAGGCCAGCCTCCCTCTCTCTCTCTCTCTCTCTCTCTACCCCGAGAAGCCGCTTTGGCTCTTTCGGTGGGACGAGGTGGTCTAAAGGTGCTGCGGGGAAAGCGGCTCCGTGGCTCCAGAAGCGAAGGGAAGCTGGGCGCTGGGGAACGGATGCCGTCCATTTCGAACCGGACTCCCAACTCCGTTTGGGTGCGATGTGGCAAAAGATGACGGAGCGGAGAATGCGTTTGCGCTAAGGAAAAGAGAAAGGCTTCCGGGCCACCGGATCTTCATCCCTAAGCCAGATTCTTGGCTCGAATTCTCTGGACTGGTGGGACGGCGGTTCCGAAGGGGAAACATGAACAGATACCTGCCGGTAGCAAGACAGCATTTCCTGGCTGTGTTAGCCAGCACCAGTGTAGTCGTGAAATCTATATGTGCCATTGTCATTTTGCTCTACCTTCTCTCTTTTGCTGTAGACACGGTCTTTGGACTTGGTGTGACCCCCGGATATCTCTTCCCACCCAACTTTTGGATATGGACGCTGGCAACCCACAGCCTGGTGGAAAAGCATATTTGGGATGTGGGCGTAAGCCTGACCACTATAGTGGTGGCAGGGAGGTTGCTGGAGCCGCTCTGGGGCGCCCTGGAACTTTTGATCTTTTTTGCAGTGGTGAATATTTCAGTTGGGCTTCTGGGGGCCTTTGCTTATCTTCTTACTTACATGGCGACCTTCAGTCTGCCTTACTTGTTTTCTGTTCGCATTTATGGAATGCTGGGTTTCCTTGGCGGTGTCTTGGTGGCCCTCAAGCAAACCATGGGTGACAGTACTGTCTTAAAGATACCTCAGGTGCGAATGAAAGTTGTTCCCATGCTCTTGCTTCTCATTCTTTCAGTTTTGAGACTGACCACTCTTATTGAAAGCAACATTTTGGCTTCGTATGGTTTTGGGGTTCTTTCCAGTTGGGTATACCTGCGTTTTTACCAGAGGCATAGCCGAGGGCGTGGCGATATGTCAGACCATTTTGCATTTGCCACATTCTTCCCTGAGATCCTACAACCTGTGGTTGGTTTGCTGGCCAATCTTGTGCACACCATCTTAGTCAAAGTGAAAGTCTGCCGGAAAACAGTGAAACGTTATGATGTTGGAGCCCCTTCTTCTATTACTATCAGCTTGCCGGGAACAGATCCTCAGGATGCTGAACGAAGGAGGTAATTTTTCTTGAAATACATCTAGGTTAAACTTTTATGTGATCTGTGTTGGAAAGGAAAAGGGAGGAACTAAGTGAACTGTTGCTACTTTTCCAAGATAGAACTATTGAAAATAGTCCCTTTTTAAATTGAAGTTTTATATTTATGTGCCTTATGTATTTGAGAAAAAAATATATACCTTTGATTTATTGAGCTTTCTTGTTTGTTCGACTGCTACTGAGAGCTCTGTCTTCAGAATATTCTATCAAAGATACCAATCCCCTTCCAAATTGATGCATGCAAAGCAAAAGTAAGAGTGAAAAGATAATCTCTCCTGTTCCTGTGCATTTTAAAACAATTCCTTTTCTTTGCAGCAAAGGAGAGGGAGAATATTTAAACCAGAACAAGAAGTTATAGTTGAGATTCAAGAGAACTGTGAATCCAGCTGAATTCTTTTAATGAGGCCTCCAGCTTACTTCTTTAGACTTTCTATTGTCAGTATTGCCAACACTAGGAAAAGTGAGTTGTAAGAAAGTTTATTTTTAAACATAGATTTAAATAATTCTTTTTCAGACTTTTATGGGGTTACATATTTATATAAAGGTAATCTCACAGTAGTCAACAGAATCGAATACTATGCAGTGAGTTTGTTATTACTATTTACAGCACTGTAGTTAAAATTTGCCAATGGATTCTGCAGTTTATTAACAGTACTGATTGCATTATTTAAACTTGCAAAGGACTAGGTTTGAAAATAAACTATTTCAGGAGAAAGCATTTGTAAGCTACTTCTATAATACTGCTAAGAAAATTTCACATGATTGTGTGTATGAAATCAAAAGGTTGTCTCTACATTGTTTGCTTTTTCCATAAAAAATATGTCTAAACGCTTAAAAATGATCCATTGAATTAACTGGGAACTTCACACAAGTAAGTGAATGCATCCTAACTATATATGCATTGTTTAGAGTTTAAACCTGGCCTTTTTTGTTTAAGTATGACATTCACCAAAAAATGTCTAAAAAGAGCCAAAAGGACATTACTTCGCAATTTATACTCGGTAAAGGGAATTGTAGACTTGGAAATTCACAATACATATGTTAGACTTTTGGTACACAGGTAGTCTTCAACTTACAAACATCCATTTAGCAACCATTCAAAGTTACAATGGCACTGAAAAAAATAACTATTCACACGTCTGTTGCAGCATCCCCTTGGTCATGTGATCAAGGTTCTTGGCAAGTGGCATGTATAACGGTTGCAGTGTCCTGGGTCATGTGACCCCTTTTGTGACCTGACAAAGTCAATGGGGAAGCCAGATTCACTTAACTACAACTGTGTTACTGACTTTACAACTGCATGATTCACTTAACAACTGTGACAAGAAAGGTCGTAAAATTGAGCAAAACTCATTTAACTAACTTAGCAACAGAAATTTTGTGCTCAATTGTGGTCGTGAGTTGAGGACTATCTGTACATCTAAAGCAGGGGTGTCAAACTCTCGGCCCACTGGCTGGATGCATCACGCACTGGTCACGCCCAGTTTAGCGAAGGGGAGAAAAGTTGTGATACATCATGTGGCAACGCCGTGATGACGTAAGTTTGACACCCCTGATCTAAAGCGTTTAAAAAAACTGCCCTTTTTGTTTAGTTCTGATTATTTTGAGTTTAAAGTCTGGAAAATTTTGATCTTGTTCAAAAGTTTAAGTAACTCTTATACATTATACTGTTTTTCACCTCAGCGGGTTAATTGTATTAAAGAAAACATTACTTTAAATTATTATGTTGTGAAGTTAATATGAATATAGTGGAGCAAAACAGGACAGAATCAGTTTGAGGAGTAGTTAATAGTTTTATTGTATTAACAATATTAAACATTACATACCCTGGATAGGAAATGTAATTATGTAAAGCGAAGCTCAATGTTAAGAGTTTTTATTTATAAGGCTAAACTATTATATCTATTTTTAAAAGTTTAAAAATGTGCATTTTGTAGATGTGCTTTCGGTTAATTGCCTTTGCAGGCACTTCTGAGCTCTCTTGCATAACTATTTGATCTGTTGTAATTTAGATATTTCAGCTCACATTCTCTTATGCCTGTAGTATAAATGCTTTCTGCTGTTACTGTGGTTTCTGAACAGTCAATACAAATGCAGAATAAATACAGAGTTGGAGTACTTGTTCCTGTGTCATAAGAGAAAAGGGGGAAACTAGTTTTCATTACCCTAAGAGAAATTTCAGTTAAAAGCAAATATATTCAGTACACAGTGAACTATTTTCTTAGGTTTTAATTTTTTTTAAAGAAAATTGTTTTCTCCTCTTCTATTCCATTGTGATTTTATAAAACAATATATTCTGAATACTTTGCACTTGTGAATCACAAACTAATACTTTCAAATACGAGCGAATTAGTCATCCCTTTTATGATTAAGTGAATTACTACGGTGACAAGTTTGTTACCAGAATTATTTTATGTACTTGTAACATAACAAGAGCACTAAGCACAAATTTGGCCAAGAATGTTCTTCGACTGAAACCTTAAGCACTGTGGGGTAGAAACAAGTAGACCTCCAGCCCAATCAACTTAACATTTGTAGGTATTTAACACTGTATTTTCTATTAAAACTTTTATTTTGGATTGTTTGTGAGAGTCTTAACAAAGCACATGTAGATTCAGTCAGTAACAACACCCTGGACTACTTCATTATTATCCCTGCTATCTTCTGAATTCCTCTATGAAAGCAGAGTTTGGACAACTGCACAGAAAGACACCCCAGAAATGCAGGGCCAAACTGATGAGCTTTACCTTTCCTGCCTTAGAACAAAACAAAGGGGGTTGGGGAGGGGAAGCTGCCAAATAACTGTAAGCTTATCATGTTCTCTGGTCCTTTCCTTAAGAGAGAAAGATCAAGATTGCATGGCAGGGCCACCAGAGCAAACTTTCTCTCACTTCATCTTTTCCTTGGAAAAAATCAGTATGGAATGCTTGATTGTCTAGCAAAGCTGTAGAACCCTTATGTATAAAACAAATCAGTCATTTTGTTACAATTATACGAGATTGAATAGATTGAAATTTTATATAGTATATAATGAAGCATGTAGCCCATGAATCGGATTGCTTTAATAGATCAATAAAATAAGAGTTATACTACTACACTGTTACTCTTGTTCTTGAGTTATAGTCTTGAACTGTTTATTTTTTAATAATTTAATAAGTGCATTTTCTTTAAACTATAAATACTTTGAAGCAACACTGTATGTAAACTGCAACCTAAACTAGTAACTGCATTATTGTAACATGCTTTCCACCAGGGGTTATGCTCTTAAGAAACGTCAAGTGTCACACATCGGGACAGCGTCAACTTGAATAAGGCTATATTAAATGTTAGCATTTTATATTGAAAGACAATCTATTTTCATACTGTTAAGAATGAAGACAGATACATTACTAGAGACCTGACTAATAGTTGTCATCAGTGAGTGGGCAAATGAAGAGTTAAAGATATTAATAGATAGTATATGTTAAATGGATATTGCTATAGATATTAATGTGAAGGAATCTATATAGTGCACGTGACAAAACACTCATCGTCTGCATTAGATGGATGTGATGTGGGGGAAGAAGAATTGTTTTCAGTCTTGAGCTGTTTATATCCCCAGAGTTTTAAAGTGGTTTTAGTCTCTTCACTAACTAATACTAGAAAATTCCTGTTCCGTGGAATGCATGATAGACTGTTCAAACTTTGTACCATTTTTTTCATTCTGTAGACAACTGGCTCTAAAGGCACTGAATGAACGATTGAAGCGTGTGGAAGATCAGTCAGCCTGGCCCAGTATGGAGGATGAAGATGAAGAAAATACCAAGGCCGATACTCCCTTGCTACCTGAAAAAAGCCGGGACTCTGCCAGTGTTGGAAAAGCTTCCAGCCAAGAATCCAGCCTCATTACCTTTGAAGATGCCCCTTCTCAATTGTGACCATGAAGCATTTACATCTGCCTGCCTGCTCCTGCATATCAGAGCTGCTAATGATCCTTTACCTGCCCTCCCTTGTAGCGTTCCCTGTTTTGCAGGAACAAAACACTATGCCTCCTGGCTACTTCCTCCAGCATTTGTGAGCCACCTGTGGTTTTGCCAGGTCTTAGAACTCTTTTGGTGAAAACTGAATTGTCGAACTGACCTGAGAAGTTGTTTCATCTCTTCAAAAAGGTTTTGAAATTAAGAACTTCTCAGAACTGGCAGGGGAGGAAGGAGGATGCAGCTCAATAAGGAGCATCTCCTTAAAAAGACCTATAAAATTTGCCCCAGCCTACAGCTGCCATTGTGGCTATTAACACAATGCTTGTGTTTAGTTCCTTTAATGGCAATTCTGGTTAATCTGAATGGAGTCTTGTATTCTCCAATCTGACGAATCTGCTCTTCTTTGAGTTCTAAATGCTAAATTATCACATAAACCCGACGAAAATATCACAGAACAACCCCTTCGAATGTACAGCATTCTCCTCAATTGCAGTTTTACTTGGTGGCAGTGATTGTTGTCAATGATTATTTGTCGTCTTTTTTTTCTTTCAGAATTAGTTATTGATTGAAATAAGCAATTTAATATTGATTAAATAAGCAAAAAAAATCTTTGTTACTCACTTTTATTTTCCAATATCCATGGGTTTCATAATTTTAAACCCTGCCAAATAAAACTGTTAAGTTCCCTCTTGTAGAGGCAGCAGTTAAACCCTTTTAATAATAGTAATGCCATTGCTGATTTTTTTAAGTGAAAGGATGCAGGCTGCAGCTTGCTTCTAGATTGCCAGTTAATACTGGATAGGAAAGCATTGTCTGAGACTTTCCATAGGACTCCAAAAGGAAATTTGATTTGTTTTTCTTCACTTCCATTTACAATTGTTCAAAGTATAAAGCAGCTTTTGTCTTTAATGGGCAACCAGTGTATTCAAGACACCACAGGTAAATTTTTGCCACAGTAGGTTGCATACTACTACTACTACTATTTTATTTTTATTTTTATTTTTTTTGTGTGCAGGAGACTGACAATTCCTTTGATGCCTAATTTTTCTGTTTGGTGAGATCATTAACCTCCTTTCCTTTGGGCTGAGATATTTTTTTATGTGGGGCAACAAGTTCTGAGATTTCTTGCCTTGATAGCCAACTAAAGGTGAAGAACTGGGTTAGGTAGCACTTAAAAGAATGGAAAGAGAATGTGTGAAAATGTTAAGATATTTTTTAAAGGACCATGATTTTTTTTTTGTCAACCAAGAAGTAAAACACAGATTTCAGTATCAATAAACAGTTCTTTCAAAGAGTGCCTCTTGATTGGCTTTCTAAACCTCCCATCATTCATCATTTGACCATGTTAGCTCCTAGTTGCAAAAGAGCTCACAAAATCATTTTCATTGCAATCAGTATTGTTAACATGAGGGGATGTTAAAATGCAGTAACAAATGTTGTCTGTGAAGTCTTTAACATGCAAACTCCTGAATGTTAAGAGTCTTGTTTCTTTTGTAGAATTAAGCCCTGTCTGATCAAGATGATGTACATCCTTGTTCACTTCCTCATCCCATTTCACTACAGAAATCCTCCATAATAAATACTGTCCATTTTGAACTTGAAAGCTTGAGTAAAAAACTGAACCATGATATCTTAAAGTTCAGTGTTTCCAACTGTAGCTGTCTCCTAATTGTTTTGCTTATCTGATCTTTAAAATTTCCAGGATTGAATACCTGTCTACTTCTTAGGTCTTAAACTTAATGCTTCTTTACCCAATATGAATTTCTTATGTGCACCAATAAGAAAACCCCACTGATGAGTTGCCATCATTGTGTACTTGTTCTAAAAATAAAAACAGAGAAGAAAGAATTAAATTGTCCTTACAGATTTTGAAATACTGCTGTGTTTTCCTTCCACTGAATGTAAAAAATAATCTGCATGGAATTATTTCTGTGGAAGAAATTCACCTTGTATAATGCATCCCTATAACAGCTGAATTAGAAATGATGCTGATTAAGACAGGGTAATCATAGTATCATGTTGACTTGATCATGCTTTAAGGTTAGTAATGAGGGAGAAATTTGCCAACTTCTTGGTGGAAAAGCAGTTCTCAAAAGTATACAGGTAATTCTCAATGTATGACCACAATTGAGCCTAAAATTTATGTTGTTAAGTGAGAAAGTTGTTTCTAATATATTTCCTATATATTAGAAAAGCCAAAAAATATGTGAAAAGCTAGGACTGACCATCTGAAAATTAAATTCAGAAATTTGAGTTCATAGGCAGTCTAAGAAGTCAGTTTGAGTTGCTGGATCAATCTCTGACTAGAATAATTAATATTGGATTTAATTTGAAAAGATTCAAAACTAGTGATTTGTGCATGTACAAAAGGACTTTTTCAACTTAGATTTTTAAATCCATTTATAAGTCCTAAATGGATTAATTTTCTAAATCACTTTAAAAATCTGGATCACTTTTTGGATGGTTTAGACAACCTGGTATTTACAACACTGTAGTTCTGGATAAAATCTTAGACCAGGGGCATCAAACTCGCGGCCCATGGGCCGGATGTGTCATGCGCTGGCCATGCCCACCCCCGAAGGGGGTGAGTTGTAATATGTCACGTGACAACGTGTCACTGCAAGTTTGACACCCGTCTTAGACCATTAATAAAAAATAAGTTCTTAATGACTTTTGGTTACAGGTTGACTACTGTGAATTAGAAATAGAGAGCCAGTTTAGTGAAGTGGTTAAGGTAACCCTCTAGAAACCAGGAGACTGAATTCTAGTCCTACCTTAAGCACAAAGCACCTGGATGACTTTGGGCCAGTTTCTCTCTATGAGCTGTTTTTAATTATTTTGTTTCCAAAGGAATGGAATGGAATGGAATAGAATAGAATTCTTTATTGGCCAAGTGTGATTGGACACACAAGGAATTTGTCTTGGTGCATATGCTATCAGTGTACATAAAAGATACATTTATCAAGAATCATAAGGTACAACACTTAATGATAGTCATAGGGTACAAATAAGCAATCAAATCATATTAGGAAAGAAACAATACATCGTAAGGATACCAGCAACAGGGTTACAGTCATACAGTCGTAAGTGGGAGGAAATGGGTGATAGGAACGATGACAAGATTAATAGTAGTGCAGACTTAGTAAATAGTATGACAGTGTTGGAATTATTTGTTTAGCAGAGTGATGGCGTTTGGGGAAAAAACTCTTCTTGTGTCTAGTTGTTCTGGTGTGCAGTGCTCTATAGTGTCGTTCTGAGGGTAGGAGTTGAAACAGTTTATGTCCAGGATGTGAGGGGTCTGTAAATATTTTCACAGCCCTCTTTTTGACTCGTGCAGTATACAGGTCCTCGATGGAAACAGGTTGGTAGTAATTGTTTTTCCTGCAGTTCTAATTATCCTCAAGTCTGTGTCTGTCTTGTTGGGTTGCAGAACCAAACCAGACAGTTATAGAGGCTCAGATAACAGACTCAATAATTCCTCTGTTATAATTAATAATTCAATAATATTATTATAATTCCCCTATTTTATTTCCAACGTCACCTCCCCAAAACAAATAAAAAATGAGACAAAGTGTATAAAAACATACCCATATATTGTCCCCCCAGTTGAACACTGATATATTTCAACAATAATAGTATTCTACTTGCAAAACAAGTCTACAATTTATAAACTTCTACAGCTCTATTTGCCCAACTAATTTGACCTACCCTCTTAATTACTATAAAAAAAAAAAATCAGTTAACAGGTAAAACCAACAACAAAACTAAACTTCAAAACTCTGTTAACAATCTATTGTATTTCACATGCAGAAAGTCCTCTACGGCTTCTAATCTACCATAGACCACTGCTATCATTATCTTTAATCTGTCCAGGATCAAATTTGATTGATTCTTGAAAATATATGATGCTTTTCCTTAAAATTCTAACTCGAATCTTTCTCAATAATTGCATCTCATTCCCCAAAGTCATAGCCTCTTTTGTGAATATCTCTGCAGCACTTGTTCTGAGATTTTTTGTGCCAGTTGGACTACAACATGTCTTTAACAGTTGTCTTCTGAGGGGATATAGTATGTCTATTCCACAATCCCTATTTATTTTCTTTAAAAAGTTCCATTTATTGCTGATTCATACTGCCAACTTAAATTTGTGACCCTTTTGTTCTTCTCCAATGAACCTGCAATTCTCAAACAAAGCTCCTCTTACAATTCTGTCAGTAACAAATTGACTTCCAATCCATCCAATTGCAAGTCTGATTTAACTGTAATTATCTGTATCTGAGTATTGCCCATCGGTTGATTTATAATTTGTTACATGATCAAACTTTTAATCTAAATTTTCATTCACAACTTGTAAGTTTAAAAGCATTTTTTTCCAAAGGCATTCAAGAAGGCTTTGAAATTAAGTTATTCTGACTCCTTTCCTTTATATTTTTGTGGGCGTTGTAAAGAATGTATAATGTTAATCCTTGATTTATTGTTATTTTCATTTTAAATATAATCCAGATTTCTTTTATCGCCAGATTTCACAGCAAAATGTATGCAATTCCTCTCAAAGATAAAAGAAGTAGGTGTTCCATTACAAAAATGTCCTCAGGAAAAATTAAGATAATATTCCTCACAGGGAATATTCTGTTTATTCCCAGAGAATAAATAGAAATGAAAGAGAATTACCCTCTCTTTAGAGAAAAAAAGAGAGGCCAAAAATATACACAAGCAAAATAAAGCAGCAAAGTTCTTTTAAAAATTGATGAAATACAAAATTCTTGCAGTAGTCCGATGAAGATATAAACCAAATCAGATCACTTTCACTACCAAGGGGGAAAAAACTTCCAAAATCTTGCCAGGACTAGTTCAGGCAGTCATGAGGTAACAATGATTTGATGGCACACACACTCACATGAATTGGTAGTACCCTCACTGTTTTGTAAAGTATTTTGGTAGTAACAACCATTGAGAAAATCCAGTAAAATGAATAGATAGCTATTTTGTCACTTATTTGTTACGCTGCTATAAAAAGAAATAAGATTTTTGATCTAGAATGTATCTTTAAACTGCCTTTATTCATTTTCAGGTCATTTTTTTTTATCTGCATAATTGCATCTTCAATTAAGCTTTCAAGGTCTTATTTGAATAATAGGAACCTTATTTGTTAGCATTAGCAACTTCTTTGATAGTTTAAGATGGTTTTGAAATGTAGATTTGTTAAGAAAGCTAGTCACCAATTCTTAGCCTTGAATTGCAGCCACAGCTGTTTATCAGTCATACCTCTCTGACAAGTTTGCACATATTTCTCAGTATGGAAAAAGGGGAAAGGAAAAAACGTCATCCATTAATATTTCACCATCTTCCCATTGTTACTTACCAGTCTAGTTCACACTGACATCACTTCTGTAGGGCTGGGCTTCTTCATATGTATAGTTAGCTGCATTCCTGTTTTATTTTCAGTAATTATTAACATTTTTAATTAGCCAGATAGATTTTTTTAGATGTCTCCCATTATTTATCATTGGAAATTATGATTGTGCAATTTATAACCACCTCAGGAATTTCCAGCTACAGTATCTTGAGCTTCTTTTCCTAGTATACCTAGCCATAGAACATTAATTAACATCTCCCTGGTTTTATTAATATCAACTTAACTGAATTTTGGAGTACATAAAGTTCATGGTTAGCTTTTCCTACATTGAATTCCAGCATGTCATTACCTCCCAGGTTCCTGTATTGTACTAATTTTATTAGTGAATTTTGCTATATTGGCTGAGATCAGATAAATTCCCTCATTCCAGATCTGCATTTGGAAAGATGAATGTTTTCAGCAGTGCATTTGGGGAATTAGTTTCCATGATACTGGTTTGTGTTCCTTAAACATCTGTATTTTGTTATTCTCATCTTACTTCCAATCATTATTTTAATGATTTTACCTCTGTACTTTCCCATTTTACTTCATCAACATCTAGTTTACTGAGTTACTTAAACTGATAATGAAACTGGACATCAGGACAGAAGACAATATTCTAGAGATGTCAGCAGGAACGAGAGCAGTCCATATAAAGATATCTCATAAGGCCTGCTGGTTTTAAAATATTCAGCCATGGTGTGAAGACTTTGCTATTGAAGAGGTCTGTATAAAATGTGTTCAATATTTTTATATATTGTAGTCAAATAGAACATTCTTGATAGTTGGCAGCTCTGCTTATAATTCAAATGAACATCAGGAGTTGATGTTGTGGCCTGTTGGCTGCCAGCAGAGCTAGCAGCAGAGTCAGATGAGGAGGAGGGGGAGCCTGGGCCAACTTTAAAGCCTTTGGAAGGCTATGATGAGGAAGCAGGATCAGAGGCAGAGGCAGAGCCAGGGCCTTCTGTCCTCCCCCAGGTGGAGAGGCAGCTGTCTTTATAGTCTGAGCTGAGTGAGGGGGAGGAACAGATGGGGCCCATCCCTGATGCACATATGCATAGGGAGGAGAGGTGAGCAACGTAAAGCAATAAGCCGGCTCTCAGGGAAAATAAGACATAGATGCTTGCTAGCCCCTACCTGGCTGGAAAATAAATAGTAGGGGTTTGGGAGTGGCCAATTTGTTTTCCAATGTACATCAATCATGTCGGATTCCTTTGCCAGAACCAGATTTGTCGGGACTAATTGCTCTGTATTTGAGATGCCAACAGAATCTCCCTGCTGGGAAATAATAGGGAGTGTATTTGCCTCAGCCAATGAGGACAAAACTGTTCCTGCCCTGACTTAAATAAAAAAAAGGTTTGTGTTACTTGTGAGTAAGCAGTTTCTCATTGCTTGTAAAGGCTGGGTCAGAACATGATATGTGAATTCATAGACAGGCTCTGTACATCTCCACCCCAGACCACCCCAACGATGCCCTTGATGTGATGTCTCGCTGCCTGGAGGCCGTGCGGGTCTGGATGGGGAGGAACAGGCTCAGACTCAACCCCTCCAAGACCGAGTGGCTGTGGCTTCCAGTGCCCCGATATAGTCAGCAGGTGCCATCGCTGACTATTGGGGGTGAATCTTTGCTCCCCACAGAGAGGGCTCGCAATCTGGGTGTCCTCCTGGACGCACGGCTGTCTTTAGAAGAGCATATGACAGCCGTGGCCAGGGGGGGCTTTTATCAGGTTCGCCTGATTCGCCAGTTGCAGCCCTTTCTGGACCGGGACGCCCTGCGCACGGTCACTCATGCCCTTGTTACCTCCCGGTTGGACTATTGTAATGCTCTCTACATGGGGCTCCCCTTGAAGAGCACTCGGAGGCTCCAACTGATCCAGAATGCGGCCGCGCGGGTGGTTATGGGTGCAACTCGTTGTGCCCACGTGACATCCCTCCTGCGCGAGCTGCACTGGCTCCCAGTGGTCTTCCGGGTGCGATTCAAGGTGTTGGTTACCACCTTTAAAGTGCTCCATGGCATAGGACCCAGGTACCTTCGAGACCGTCTTCTGCCACCAATAGCCTCCCACCGGCCAGTCCGCTCCCACAGAGAGGGTCTCCTCAGGGTGCCATCGGCCAAGTTATGTCGGCTGGCGACACCCAGGGGGAGGGCCTTCTCTGTGGGAGCCCCAGTCCTGTGGAATGAACTGCCCCCGGAAATACATAAGATCTCTGACCTCCGGGTGTTTCGCTGCGCACTGAAGACCCTGTTGTTCCGCCAGGCTGGCCTATCAACATAATTTTAAATTGGGGTATTTTAAATTTCTGGGGTTTTAAATTGAGCCAAATCTATTTAATCATTTTAATTTTTAACTGTTTTGTCTTGTGTTTTTAAATAGGCTGTACACCACCCTGAGTCCTTCGGGAGAAGGGCGGTATAGAAATAAAATTGTTGTTGTTGTTGTTGTTGTTGTTGAACAGATTCTAATTCTAATCATAGCTAATCTGGCTGTTGTATTAAATTATTGCTCAATGACTTGAAAATAACTGAAGTTATTCTTAAAATATTGCGGCCATAATGAGTAATGTTCCTCTGAAATTCAGGCAGAAATCTTAAATAGAATAAGGTTAATATCTGCAGTTGTTATCCTTTCACAAAATTTGAGCTATGATTCCAATAATTTCTGTATGACTGAACAATGCAAAATCTATCTGAAGGAAGCAAAACAAGCATGATGGCAGTATGTCACAGTTGCTGCATTTTTAAAAAAATCTTTATTTCAGCGCTCATAAATACAAGCTTTTCCCCACTCCCGAGTTTCAGTGGTAGGTTCATTGGTTACACAGTTTGGTGGCATATATTTTGTTTTTGATGTTTTCAGATAACAAGTATTACCTCTGTTCCCTCTTATCAAGGCAGCAATCATTACTTGACGGTTTAATGAGTAGACACTGGGCAAAAAAGTAGCATTAAAACCATATATAAACTGTTCATTGATGTTATCTATGAGACAATTAATCTTCCCTATGCTTTCAGTGCAAATACAAACTTTTTAAGCCTAGTGTATGTTTTTTTTTAACTATAATACTGTATGGTAAAATATATGTTGAAACACAAGTAGCAGCTAGATACCTAAACTATGTACCACTGGAAATACAGGCATTTAGGTGATGCTTGAAAAGAGCATATCTCATACTCATTACACAATGCCATGTGATAATATTTTAACAAGATCATCAATCTTTGTTCTTGCCTTTGCAATAGAAAACTGAATTAAATTTTAAAAATGGGACAGGAGGGGAATGCAATCAAAGCCTACATTGTAACTAAAGTTACCTGTGGCCATGTCTTTGAAAACTATAGGGCTTAAGTTAGTCTGTTTCATTGACTGCAACATGAGTGTCTTTAAATACATCAGTATTAATAGTTCCTCTGTGACACAATATTATTTCCCCATTAAAGAAGCTTTTCTGTGATTATTTTTCTCCCTCTTTGGAAAGCAGGTGTTATCCTTTCTCAATAGTAGAATACAAATATATATTTATATAAGGAGTTCCTGGAAGTAACATAAGCAGGAACTATGGTTACCAAAATTGTTTTAACAAGCATTAACAAAATGTTTGTTAACAAACAAAATGTATTATGGGAGGTCAATTGTTGCTGATAGCCAAGATAAAAAAACAAAAGCAATTAGAATTATCCCCCATTTTGAAAAACAAAGGAAAAAGCATAATCTTTTTCTAAGTTCTTTAAGAACCTCAGGATGCCTTGAGAAGTGCTTTGATGTAAGAATTAAAGATGAATGAAAATGCCTTTTATGCACATACATTTAATCACATATGAACTTTTCTCAAGCTCTGTTTGCATGATATATCTTATTTTTGTGAAATAACTGTGCATATGAAACAATTCCAAGTCTTGAGAAATGAGTAGATTTCCTTGTCAATCAAGCCAATAGATTGCTGTCTGTAATTGCAGGATCAAACTATCTAGTACTATTATTCCTTACTACTCAGATATTGAAAAGTTTGAGTCAAAATCAAGCATACTTTGCCTGATTTATTGAGCAGAAGATAAGCCTTTTTTTTTCTTTACAAATCTAAAAGATGAGGTTTGCAGTCACTTGTGACAGATTCTCCAACTAGTTTCCTGTTGAGTTTTGGGACTACAGTTCCCATCACTCCATCATCAATTTGCCGTAAGATCCCACTTTAGAGAACAGAAAACTATATAATACAATAGGAGAAAAAAGTTCAGGAGTTAAGTATTGTGGAAACTCAAGAGGAGAGTTACTCGTTCTTGCCTTTTGTGGTTTAAAAAGAAATTAAAAAGAAACCTGAAGGAGCACACTTTGTTAGCCATTATGTTAGTGCTATGGGATGGGTTCATCCATCCTGCTAAACCTTGGTTTCTTTTAAGTTTTAACCATGACTTGTAGAATAAACTATGGTGGCCTGGTACATAAAAATGCCATAATGGCTTAATTAACAAACTTAAGTCAAAACAAAAACCAATCACACTGTAATTTAGCTTTAACTTAGCCAGCATGTTTTGAAACTTCATGGCTACCAAAGCTGTCAGCTAATCACCTCTAAATTCAATGCATACTGCCAAGGGACAGATTCAACTCATCTTCTGGGACAAGATCATCCCAGAAGCTGCACTATAAAGTGTTGAGAGAGATTGAAACAGTTCTATTTCCCAATCTTTTGCACATTTCTTTGGATTCATGGCCCCTTGAATTTTTGCCACATCTCTTCTTTGCATGTGGGATAAGCCTTATTAGATCTTCACCTGCATATATAAACCAAGTGAATTTTCTTCTGAGTAAAAATGTGTATTTTTTAATCAGCGTTCAATGTTTATAATAGTACATAGCAAGGAAGAACAAGATAACTTGAGAGAAGGTTAGAGAAGAAATACGAGAGATTACAAGACAGGAGCTGCCAAGCAGGAGAAGAGAAATTGGATACTCCCTATTACTATTGGTAGGGAGAGAGGGATAATCAAATGTGCATTGTGAAAGTCATTCAAAACTCTGGGTGTCCTCGATATTTCTTTTATAATAATAGGGATAAAATAGTATTCTTCACCCTGCATTTTCTCATCTTTCTAAAAATAGTTTGTGCTTACTTCCTTACCCTTAGACTGGTGTTTCCAACCCTAGTCATTTTAAGATGTGGGGATTTGGGTCTCAGAATGCTCTAGCCAGCATTCTGATGTATTCTGGGAGCTGAAGTCCACACATCTTAAAATATTAAAGTTGGGAAACACTGCCTTAGATCTTTCCTTTCTTATTCCATCTTTTGTCTATAAAATTGTAGTGGCACTACAATTTACAATTATAGACATACATGGCCATATCAAGAATAATCTAGATTCTCATGGGTAACTTGCTCCTGGATAAGGATATCCTATGCTTTCAGGGGACACATCTTTTGAAAACTTATTAAAGTGTTAGCAAAGTAAGCAACTCACTGATATGCTCTGCTAACCTTCCTATTATGCCATTAAGCCAGGGCATACAACCTGCAGAAATGGTTGACTATAATTTAAATTCTGGCAGGGATCCAGGAATGTATGTTCCTGTTTTCTGCTTTAAATTAAAGTGCCTTTTTATAGCTCAGCATCATTTAACTGCAGAGCAGAAAGTCAGAATATTGGTTGGGAATTGAGTTACAATAATCCCAATGTATCTAGAGAATGGAGGGACATTGGTTTTAAATGATACCTTTCATGCTGAAGAGCTGTCTCTATCTTACAGGCTAACATGCATTTGAAATCCTTCGGAGATGACAGTATTTGGGAGCAGGACAGATAGGCTTGAGTAAGAAAAACAACAGGTAAAGGAATATTCATTTTCTGAAGTTTTTTTTCTTCTGCATTTTCCATCTGCACAAAGCAATTCTTTTTTTAAAAAATGTAAAATATATTATTAGCCCTTGATCAGCACATATGATTTAGCTAATATAGCTGGATATGCTGTACCTTCACATAGCATGTGACTTTAAAAAAAGAGGAAGAATTGACCATCAATGCAAACAAAAACTGAATACATTGAATAAAAGCCATCCTTTCAAAGAGGAAGTTTAAAAATGCCCATGCCTTAGAACGGAGCATGAATATGAAAAAGAAGTTACAGCAAGTTAGATTTACAATCATAGATGTACATGGCCAATCAAGAATAATTTAAACCAGAATATATCCACTGATTTCATTCAGGGGGTGAGGGAGTACCAGTAGAGCAAAATTGGGCTCTTATACAATACTAATAATTATTATAGTTCCAGCAATGGGATTGCAAGAAACTTGGTTCAACAGCATAGGCATCTCTGCTATGGAAAAATTGAAGCAATTAAAAAAAATCCATAAAAAGTTAGAGGCAGGTAGAAAGAGATTCTTGAGTTCCAGTACTCCTGTATATAGCTATGGATTCCTTCCAGATAATGCAGAAATGCTTCTGGGATGCCACACAGATTGTTTTACAATTGTTTTCAAGGCTGGATTCTTTTACGGTAGAGATAGGCATTGCTCACTTGGTTCATGATAACCAAACTGGTGAGAATAGGGCACAGCATAGTTAGATACCAGGAGATTCCAGTCACACTTGTGGAAAACCATAGGGAACACATGCCCAGCATCAAGCTGGCACAACCAAGGAGATACCCAATCAGTCCTGATGTAGCATGGTATAGTTTCAGTTTGCTTAGGGTCCAGTTCTTCATCAGCTTGGGATAGAGCAGGACGAGTCCACCCATGCATTGCAGGCTAGCATATACCACTGTCAGCAAGCCAGTCTGGCCGTGCCAGGTGACAAAGTGCTCTTTACCATTGAGGTACTTGTTATAGCTGATAATGGCCAATCCCAGCAATGCACAGATGAGAGCAAGCAGCTGTAAAGCCCAGTGGAAGCGGACCTTGGCCTTGCGGGAGAAGGACCGGAGGAGGGAGCTCTCTGGAGAGAAAGTCAGCAGGGCCTCTGTCATCAGGAAGGAAAACTGGGAGAAGGGAAGACAGAAAAAGACATAAGAGTTTCCCACATAAAGGTCAGCTGCAAAAAATATTTAGCAATACTTCATGCAAAAATTTGGGAAACCGTCAGATATTTAGCAAGACACTAGTTTGTCAATGGGGGAGACCTATTCAAGAAGATACAGCACATAACTTTTAAATGAAATTCTGCAAAAGAGAAAATACAGATTTAGAGAGACGGTATAGAGACAGACTCATTCTTGAAACGGGCAGCAGAAGTGCTATGCTATTTTTCCCAATTTCCATAGTGAAGAATACGCACCTGCCCCCTATTAAGTGCAACAAAGTATTCTACCTTTTTGCATGAAGACCCAGCAGACTGAACAACTTGTTATAAAAGAGAAGATTGTACAGGTAGTCCTCAACTTACAATCAGCCACCTAGCAGCTGTTCAAAGTTACAGCAGACCCCCCCCCCCAAAGACTACTTATGACCCAGTCCTGAAGTTACAGCTGCTGCAGTGACCCTTCAGTCATTCATCCTTATGAACAACACAGTGATACTCCTGCCTGTTTCCCTATTTCCCACACACACTGGGTCCCCACAGGCCTTGGATCTGCTTCCCATCCTCCTCCTTACTTAACTTTCCAAGAACTCCAGAGCTTGAGTTAGGAAAGCACAGTTTTGTTGTTGGGGTATATCTTCCAAGCGGCCATATTGAATTGCCATTCATAAAATGGCAGACATTTCCAGGATTGTCCCACATGGGGTTGTTCATAAACTGGCAGCCGCTTTTGGGACTGCCACACAGCCCAGCAATGAAGCAGTTTGTTCTGTTTCCTAACATGGTCTGGGCAGTGCTGTGGAAAATGCCAGAGCTTTCTACAGCATTTGCGCAGTTCATGTTAAGGAACCATAATGGATCGTTCTGTTACTGGGCCGCAACTGCCATTTCAGTGTGGCCACAAGGAACTGTGTTGCTAGACAACACAGCCCAGCAGCAAAGCAATCCACATTGTGGCTGCGTTAAAATGGCAGCTACATCTGTGACGCAGCCACACAGTCCAGGAACGCTGAGGGGTGGTGTGGCATGCCCTCCTTCCCCAATGTGAAGTACAGAGTTCTGGAGAGCTTCAAAAGCCAAGTGGGTGATGGGGAATGGGCAGGAGGCCAAAGCCCTGTGGGAAACCAGTGCAGGGAGGGAGAAACAGGCCCGAGGGCTGTGGGGACCCCAAGGTGGAAAGCGGAGCACAGATTGTTTTATGAGGTAAAGGAGGCCTTGGGAAGCCTAGGGCAGGTGGGCATGAGCCAGGACTTCCAGGACCTTCCCCTCCCATGGGCACTCTTTGTTCCGCTTAACAATCCACATAGTCATTTTAACAACTGCAGGGGGTTCGAGGTCATTAAGCGAGGCACTCTCTTGACTGTAATAGGTACACTATATTGTGGTCATAGGTCAAGGATTACCTGCATAGTTAGTTATTTGAGAAACAATAACCAATAATAGAAGGAAGGAGTATTATATATGTATCTACTGCTTTGAGTTATTTATAAAAACAATAAATGCAAGATAAAAAATCTAGAAAACATAATCTCATTTGTCTGGCTTACCGCAAGAGACATTAAGAAAGGATGCCAGGAGAACAAACCTGGAAAGGAATGAGGACAAAATCAATGTCTGCTGGCTAATCATGGCTGAAAAGATAAAGTATGTTCCTTACATTCAATTCATTTGTTGAAGTCTTAAAACATCCTTGTGAGAGATAATCTGACCCAATGTTTCTATCATAGCTGTGCCTATGCTGATATTGCATTTGGGAGCCCCTGGAGCCACCAAAGGTAGAGCCATCAAAATCTGGAAGCTAATTAGGGACAATTTTCATCCTGTGTTCAGACTGGGTACCTTTAAGGGTAGAAATAGAAGCACAAGGCTTTCATTCACATTCCTAAATTCTCTCAAATTAAGCAAAACAGGGTCAATAAATAATTATTGCCCTTGTATCCTTGTATCACTAATAAGATTTGTGCAGCTAAGAAATTAAAGCATAGCCCAGGACAGAAGAACTGACATGTCCACAGATTGTGAAGTACAGTATTAATATGTTGACTGAAAAACTACAAATAGAACAATACTAAATATGCTAGTATTGGAAGCCCATTATTTGTGAAATAAATAATTCTGAGGTTCTTTCAAATATGAATCTAATAATCTCTTGAGGTCGAGGAAGAAATAAAACATGTCCATGGAGAATTTAAAAAAAAAGAAAACAGATTATTATGAAGTAAATTTTTAAGTACTAATTCATGAAACTTTATACTACATAATATTTATAATAAGGTAACACAACATACATTCTCAGAATTAAATGTTAGTCAGTTTGGTCTAGTGGTTAAAATACAAAGCTAAAAACCAGTAGGTCATGAGTTCCATAGTCCTGCCTTATCAATGAGAGCCAGCTGGGTGACCTTGGGCCAGTCATTCTCTCAGCCCAATTCACTTCAGAGTGATTGTTGCAGGGAAAATAGGAGAAGGAAACGTTATTAGTTTCCTCAGTTACTTATAAAAAATAATAAAGACAGGGTACAAATAAAATAAACATTGTTATATTGATTCATAATTTTGTTTCCTGTGATCCTACAAAATGATGTCCATTCTCAAAATTCTTTATTCACCATGGAAAATGGAGCTTAATCCATGTTAAGCCTTTGCATTGAAGGCTCTTATTTCACTGTCATCTTCCTTTCACTAAAAGAAATTGATTACCTTTTTTCACAGAAGATACAGAACTATAACTAGATTGGAGAAGACACTGCAATGAATGGATGAACTTAGTGGGAGAAGCTCAGCCTGTAGTCAATAAAACAAAAGCAAAGGCTACACACACTGACCAAATTCAGCACAGGCAATGCAGTATGGATGCAATCCAATCATAATCACAGATTATTATACATTAAGCTTATGGCTAGAAATTGGGAAACCATGACTACTAGTCCCACTTTAGGTATGAAGCCAGCTGACCTTGGACCAGTCACTCTCTCTCTATTTTCCCTAGAAAGACAATTGCAAGCCACTTCTGCATACCTTGCCAAGCAAACTGCAGATTTGCCCAGACAGTCACCAGGATTAAACAATGACTCAAAGGCATGCAACACAAATATCGTAACTTTTTTTCCTCTGAGAACTCAAGGCAGCATTTATGAAGGGGGTCTTTCCCAACACTGTATCAGAGCTATGATCCTATAAGATAAGTGGGGCTGAAGGCATGATTGGACAAAATTTATCAAGAAAACTTCATAACTGAGTGGGATTTGAATTTAACTAGCTCAAGCACAACACCTTACCTCTCCACTCCACTAATTCTTTTAATTATACAGTATAGTTGAGGTTGGAAAATCCAGAGTGGAGTGTTGGTCAAAATGGGTGACTAGAATTGCCAAGATCTTAAGTCTAACTCAACAAGGGAGGTTATGGACTGACTTTCAGCCTCCTCCTTTCAGACTTTCAGCCTCCTCCCCAGCCCCCATGCCCAGCTTGGACCTACTAGCTAAAGTCATCATCCAGCAGGACGATCTGTACTGTACAATATATCTTAAGCATTCCTGTCCATGTTTCAAATAACACCAAATGGTCCTCCCTTTGCTCTTTACTTACTTGATCCAGGTCTGGTGAGTACCACCATGACAATAGTGAATCCAAGAGAAACCAGGTGTGCGGCTGCACCAAAGACAGTCCTGAGAGAGTGGTAAATCTGAGATTCCGTTTCAACTGTCAGAGCCATGTCTTCTGGAATATGAATAAGATGTTGGCCTTCCACTGTCCACTAATTATCGATCTTCTTTGTTTACATGCAAAACCTATCAAGTGTTCCAGAACATCAAAGTGAGGGAAAACTCGAACACTACTGTCTTTAAACAAAAAAAATTTGCTTCAGGTTTCTCATGCTTCTGTCAATTATCCTGTATAAAGAGATATTAAGAAGGAGCAAAATAAAAGCATCTGGAAAACCCAAGAATAGTCTTTAGTCCTCAAGTATAATCAAAGAAAATCCTAAACCGTCAAAGCAGTGTCTTCATTTCCAACAAGGATTTGCCATCAAAACCTGGGATTCTGCCAGCAAGGAACTAAGTTTTAGATATTTTTAGGCTCTTAATGTAATGTCATATCATAAAATGTTTTAATTCCAATTTAATCTCATTTCTCCCTCTTCTTTTTCCTGTTCTCATTTTGTATGCATTAAGCATATGCTGACTTTTGAGGGTTGGATGGATTTTTTTGCTGTGGAGGAAAAGGTTTTCTAAACCTTTAATATAGGGTGGGCTTCAGCTTAAAAGAGGCTTTTGTTCCCTCCAGGAATCAAATTGACTAAACACACAACACTCAAACTAAACGTATATGCCTGAAGAAAGCCTAACTACACCACTAATGCTGATTTAGTTCCATTGTTTAGATTCAGAGAGAGATGGTGTCAATATTGCAAAATGCAAGTATAGCAAGCTGTTGTAATCATTTTCTCCCACTGTCAACTTCAACTGACATTCAGAAGTATGGGAAGCTCCCCTGACAGGGATTGGTAATAAACCACAAACCAATGCAGACAAGCAAAAGAAGGGAACCACACAGCCATGGTTGATACATGAACCCAGTAGGCTTCCTTGTGATTAATTTAACCATAGTTTAATTTAAGAAAGCCAATGTCAACAAATCACAGCTAAAATATGGATGGCTACTTTATGGTTCAGCAGGGGTCATGTGAACATAGCCATGAATCACTTTTGTTGCATCTGTGGGGAGCAAAATATCCACCTCTTCAAATTGAACTGAGCAGTCATGCAGGCCTGAAGATCTTCCTTTCTGGGGCCTTTTCAAAACAAATATTGTGCAGCACTCTTTTCTATGAATCATTAGCCAAAAAAAATCATCCTCTACTACATTTCACTGCTAGTACACCATCAGAGCTTTCCCTATAGAAACCCTAAAAAATTAAAACATCACTGTTTTGTTTCACTAGGAAATTATTATTTCTTGAAGAACAGCCTGCAGAATTACATGCAACCTTTACTATAAGTGTCTGTGGAAATGCATCTCAATCATAAGCTATGAGTATGTTTGAATACGTGTCAAGTTAAAGAACACAGCAGGGCTCATGTTCACATCTATCATGCTGTCCATCTTCAGTCCTCTGAGCAACATAGAAGTAGATGGCAAACATTTGAAACTCTGAAAAATAACATTTCAAGATAAAACTCTTGAAAAACTGTTCAGTCACAAGCACTAATAGAAAACACCAGTGAATTGTTTTTAATTTTTATGCACTATACAGCTTGCAAGCTGTATTACCAATCTGTTTGCCCAATTTTTACTGGTCAGGATTATATAAATATAAACATGAAAATAATTTTCCCCTGTTCATGTTTACTGTTAAGTAATGGTAATTTGCCCAAGGCTACCAAGTGAGCATCATCCTGAGACCTCTATTGACATTTTAAAATCCATCCATTAAATTATTTGCACCTGAAGAAATAGGCAAGCAACTTAAATAATCATACATGCATGAATTTATTACAAATTTTCATAGTGGAAACTCATTGCTAACTGAGAATTACAGTTCTATATATCCTGTAACAGCTATTTTGGAATCATAAATTTATAATATGCAAATTCAATTTACCACAAATTTGCTTTACCTATGGGGATGCGGTAATAAATGAAAACAACCTGAGTGGAGAATTAAACTCCAAGCTTTGTAAGAACCTTAATTAAATAAAGCCATGGGATTAAAAAGAAATGAGACTGGAAGAAATTTGACTGACTTTAAGGCAGGTTGACCCTACCAATAGGCTTTCATATCATACCTTGTTCAGGTATGCCTAAACAAATAAAACATATTTTGCTAGGTTCCTACAAGATGCTGAACCACAAATAACACAACCGTCTTTTAGCCTAGCCGTAGGCTGTTCTCTGTAATACAGGATTAAGGCAAAGGGACAGACGTCATAGTCTTTCTTTCTTTTCTTTCAGTGGCAAGGCAAGGCTCCCTCTTGAGCATTTTGAAAAAGAAGACGAGGGCAGCCTGCACTTCGATTCTGCACCGTGTATCTTAGGGGCACAATCGAAAGTGGAGGTGGCTGCTAGAAGAAAGGAAGGAAGGAAACACGAGAAGCTAAGCTTTTCTAAAGAGACACACAGCTCTCAGGACTCCGTCCAAAACGATGATGCACAGTTTCGAGAATCATTTCGGGGAGAGGCACGAGAATGTGTCGATCTTCCGCCTCACCTGATCTGTCACCACCAGGACACACATTCTCCTCGGATAAAGCAGCCTTCAGCTTTGCCCACCCTACATCTTGCATTGCAACTGGCGTAGGCAATAAGGTCTGTAGTACAAGAGGTGTGGAGAGATGCCTCCACCAGTCAAGGACTCCACCTAGGGTTTCTTCTTGCCAGAATGAGAAGCGTTGAGTTCCCGGGCTGCTGTTTCACAAAAAGCATTCCAAGCTTTTTGGAAACCCCAGGCAGAGCCCATCCCCTTCGGCAGATCTGCCCTAATCCGCCCCCCGCCCGGAAGGCTTTGAGAAAAGCATCCCTCTCCCAGCTCCAACCCAACCGTCTTGGCTTGGGGAGATTCTAAAGAACTCACCTCCGCCGGGAACAGCAGCATCGCAAAGGAGCATCAACTCCGGTGGAAGCCAAGGAAGTACCTGATGCCTTTTGATTGGGCAAGTCCACCCAGCTTGTCATATGTTCCTCCCACCCTGGCGGCCGGTCTCTGCGTCTGAGAGGCTGAGCCGCGCTGCCCATCATCGGGGGGGGGGGGGAACCCTCTCCAAGACAGCTAGCTGCGCGACACGTGACAAGCATCGCACGTTCGTAACTACCCTCCGGGTCTTAGCTTTAGTGCTGTATGGTTACCGGCGGCCAAGGTCGGGGAACACGTTTGCGAACGGAGATCTGCAGGAAGGTTGTCTGTTTCCTCCAGGACGCAGGCGCTGTGAGATCGCTCCCCCCCCCCTCCACAAGCTCTTTCGCTCGCCCAGTTGGAGTTAGCCTTGCACATGCGTGCTTTGGCCGTGCTCTTCCGGTAGGTGCAGAGCCTGTGGGCTGGTCTTTGGCTACCTGAGAGAGAGAGAGATCGTGTGAAGGCTCCCGATCCCTCCCTCCCTAGGCACACTATCTGGCGGGGATTTTAGGAGTTTACGTGAACCCCAAGTTTAGGCAGCTTTCTGTTAGTTCAGGGGACCGGGCATTAAATAGGCCTTTCTTGAGCAATAATACCCTGTAACTTCATAGGCAGTTTGATTATTGATTAAAAAGGCAAGAATATCGCTTGATCTATAAATTTCTTCCACCAAGACATTTCCGTCAGTTCTTAAAAAGAAAAAAAACCGCTCTCTGCCAGAATTGTGGGAATCGGTTATATTTAAATAAATGCAGACTGGCTTGTAATTTATGAGCTAAAGCAGTGATTTGGCAATTTAAGAGGCATGGATTTCAACTCCCAGAATTTTGTGGAGTTGAAGTCCACACATTTAAAAGTTGCCAAATCTGAAAAACATTGAATAAATTGATGGACTACAGTAGGTAAATTAATATCCTAGTACTGTAGATTACAAATGTATGCATGCATAAATGGGAAGATTAACAAAGAAGTTCTAATGAAAAATAGGGCACCTGTTTTCAGCCGATTTAGAAGATTGCTAAGTACAGTATAAAGCCATTCTCAACGTGATGGATAGAGTGGGTAGACATATAACTATTGCTATCGTGGAATATTGTCCTGCCTTCCTTTGGAAAATATGGGCCTTTGGAAATTGAAGGTCTGTTTGTAGATACTCTTTATAGTATAGTATTTATAGTATTTCTATGCTGTCAATGGGAACCAAAGAGTGAGAATGCTAGAGGCTGCCTTCTGTGTTGCTCAAAATAACAGTTTTGAAGTGCATTTCACAAAATGCACTGATTACTCCTTCTGGCTCTTTTTACTACGGGTGACTCAGATCTTGACAGTTTGATCTGTGATTCATTTAGTCTTCAATGAACAAGAATAATTCAGCAGAATTCTGGTTTGTACAAGATTTGTATATCAATCACAGATGACTCACATCCTGATTTATTAGTTACATACACTAGTAAGTGAATTCACTCAGTGTGATAGCTGTGCTAGTCTTCCAGTGATAAGATAAAATTATGCAGAATGTAAGCTTAGTACTTAGGTTACGTATAGAGTGCAGGAGGTAAGATTACAGAAATATTTAGTGATCAGTCTACTTTTGTGGAATTTGTTCCATATAGAAATAGGGCAAGTTCTTCCAATTACTGCCTGGCCTGCAGCATCACAGATGCTGGCCATGACTGGGTCTGCTCCATTCTTCTTTTCATGGTAATTGAGACTGGAATTTCTGTCACTAAGTGATGCGGTTGTAAAGTGAAATATGTGACTGCACTGCTTAGCAATGGCAATCCTGGCATATTCTGCAGCCCTCGTTAAGCAAGCATTGTGGGTCACTAAGTGAATCCATCTCTGGTTTGAAGTTGCCTTCCAACTGGTTTGCACTCCAAACCAGTGCAACAGCAACATGTAATTATTGCTGTTGCATTGCCCTCCATGTTATACAGCATCTCTCCTGGCTGAGCTGCTGGTACTTGAGACTCTGAGGCTACTAGTTCTTGGGACATCAATTTACCAGCTGGTGATTTTCTTCTTTTTCTTTGTCTAGATCAAACTTTAGACTGCCAGAATGAAATCACCTTGGTTTTGTCATTGGGCAAAAATAAGTCATGATCAGTATATGCTTCTGGTAGTAGCCAACATAACAGCAAATGGAGTGGGCTCTGTGTTTCTCCGCATTCACCCAGCATAAGCCTCCACTTAAGCATATTGATCTTACATCTAGACACTCCAGCCCTCAACCTATGCAGGGTCCTCCAAATAGTATAAGGGAGATCGGATTCTTCAGCCATATCCTCCTTTAACGTTATGCCTTCTTCAGTGGTCTCCTTTCTCCATTTTTCCATATGGTTTTGTTTTTGCGTACCCTCAAGAATGTTCTTGCCATAAAGCTTTTCCTAGATGTGAGTCAGTAGGCTTGGGGCATACGTCCATTCAGAGGATGTCAAGCTGGTGATATTGAGTCTGTGGCAACTCAGGAGTTTATGGCCACCATGATAACTGCAGACCTGTCCCAAGTCATCATGAACATCGTGCATAACAACTCACGCTCTAGATCTGGATTTTCTCTTGGGGCAGATGAAATATCATCTGATTCTGGAGGACATTATTATTAGTCCATTGCTGCAGTCAGATCACTTTCTGAATGTGGGGTTTTGTTTGTTTTTTTTTGGCTCACTGGTGCCAAACTACCTGAACAGCCTGCCACAAATGACTATTGAACCTGTGTGATTAAACTATGTTGTTTTATAGGATTCAGAAGGTAGGCAAACTTTGTTGCAGTGCCTGCGCCTTTTGGAACTATATCTCCCCAGAGGTTCATGCAACTTCCACGCTTATGATGTTTAGCAAATTATTTAAAACCAGGTTGTTCTTTTAGGCCTTGGGTAGAATAGTTTTGGAGTCCTCTTTAGTTACGTTTGAGTGTTTTGTCCTTAAAGTTGGCCATGATTTCTTTTTTACTTTTTTATTTGTTATTTTATCGGGGGTGGGGGGGTGTCAGGCCTTGAAATTGGATTCAAAGAAAATAAGAGTTAATTTTTCCCAAATGTAGCTGTTCATTCATTTCTGTGTATTTCATCTTTTTTTAGTTACAACCATGGAAATCAGCAGCAGAATTGAGTGTATATTTTTCAGCGAATTCCACCCAACACTGGGGCCTAAAATAACTTATCAGGTCAGTTGTGCAAAAGCTACCTATCTCATTTGTTATGTTCTGTTCTGTTCTGGTTGGCATCAGTTGTCCAAGATTTTACATTTGCTCTTTATTATTCTTGACTGGAGTTGAAGCCGAGACCTAGGAAAACATAGCGCTTGCTATTCATGGAGCCCCCTCCTTTATTCAGGATGTCTTTCATCAAGTGTAATGCATCTGCTTGTCTATTTTTATTTCTGATTGCGTACTTTATTTTTGCAGTGGTGTATAAAATGTTTTTTCATCTTTGTTTGAAAAGCATGTTGCCATAGTTTAAAAATAGCTTTGCCATAAAAGTTAAGGTAATTATTTATTGATTTGTTTGTCTATTAATTATTTGCAGCTCTGTCTTGTTCCTGCAGGTACCAGAGGATTTTATTTCCCGAGAGTTGTTTGATACAGTGCAAGTATATATCATCACCAAACCTGAACTCCAAAATAAGCTTATCACAGTGTGAGTATTATGTAGGAGCAGTGTAAGAAAAGCCTTACTTGATGAAGAAATACAATTGCTCAGTATTTTGAGTGCTGGAAAGTTAATTGTTTTCTCTCGCTTCTCTCCCCTGCTCCACAAAAATCCAGTACAGCTATGGAAAAAAAGCTAATTGGATGCCCAGTTTGCATTGAACATAAGAAATACACCCGGAATGCCCTGCACTTCAACCTTGGCTTCGTTTGTGATGCTAGAGCTAAGACCTGTGCACTGGAACCGATTGTGAAGAAACTGGCAGGTTATCTTACTACTCTGGAGGTTAGAAATAGCCTAAATATGATATCCTTCATTCCTGCTCTCTGGGCATCTAACAACACATTAAAACCACCAAGAAACAATATTAATGTGGGTAAAAACCATCAGTGAATGCCAGTGATAAACCCAGACAAAAGTATCATCAAAATCCTCTCAGTGCAGCTTCTATTCTCCCAACCTCCAGAGTCTGGAGCATATTCCAGGTCTTAAGTGCTTTATAAAATGCAAGCAGGGTTAGGGCAGTCTAACCTTTGGGATATGATCTTCCAAGCAGACAGGAAGCAGTGTGACAGAAAAGGCAACATAGATGCACCCTTGTCTTCACTCTTCATTTTGTTTTCTCTAATGCTTAGCTAGTGGCAAACTTGATATATTTTTAGGACCTCTAAGTCCTTGAGTGACACCTGATGAAGTTGTGTGATGAATATGGACTGTCATAGCTACCTCTTAGCTGATCACAACAGGCATTTCACTTCCAGTCCTTTGCACTCTGGAAACTTTTGCAGAAGATATTATTAAAACTTGTAAAGTATAACCACATTTGTTTTTCTATACCTGCTACTCTATTTCCTGCAGCAAAGTTGTACTATTCCAGAAGTATTCTTCAAACACTTATGCTGCTTTCCTGGGGTACTTTGTGTGCTGTAAAAGTCAAACAGTTTTTAGCTTATTTCAAGACCCTTCATCTACAAATCACTATCTCTTATGCCTACTCTTTCATCACTCTCTGTGACTGTAATAATGATATGCATGATACTCTAAGAGCTTAATTCTAATTTTGAATTTCCATTTTATTATTGCTATGAAAAATATGCTCAGGTTTATTTGAATGAAGTTGTATTTTCTTTTAGTGGAGCACACAGTCCATGCTACTGCTGCTAGTAATAGTTTGATTGTAATTGATCATCAACTGTGCTCTTTCCTAGCTTGAAAGTGGCTTCATTTCCAATGATGAGAGCAAGCAAAAATTGATACCCATCATGACCATTCTACTTGAAGAACTGAATGCTACTGGCAAATGCACTCTGCCTATTGGTATTTTCACCAAGCATATTGTTACAAAATATATTTTGGAACAGAGCATATTAAAATTCAGACTTGTGATTCTTGGGCAGATAAGCCTATGGAGCACGTTTAGAAAGAAGGACACTTATTATTTAGTGCTGCCTTCTCCACATCTATATGTCTCAATATGAACAGGTAAAGTAGATAAGAATATGATTTTGCGCAACAGCAGGAAGAATTATGTACCAATGTTCTTGAGCATACAGTACACTGTAGTTTCTATTTATTTGTTGGGTGGTAAGGGAGGTGTCATCTTCCAAAGCAGTATTCTCTAGCATAGTACCTCCACAGTTCTCAGCTACAACCATTGTTTAGATCAAGGGTCCACAAAGTACCAAGAAGTGCTGCATGTTGGTTCTTTGAAGGAAGCTCTTACTGTTCTTTACAAATATACTCTGGCTCTTCTAAATTGACATGATTAAGGAAAAGACACTAATTGTCCTTGGGGTTTTGCATAATTTGAATATTCCCTCTAGTACTAAGTGCAACATGCTGTAAGACAATAAGGTGAATAGGCTATACTGTAACACTATCATATTGATTTGGAGAGTGTCATTCACTTGGGTTATCCGATTACTCACTGGTTTGAAAATTGCTGTACATTCAACATTAAAACTTAATCGTGGTTGTAATGTGAGCGCTTGCCTTCCACACCTAGTCCAATTATGCCCTGTAAAGTAGGGTCTGTTATTGTTGTCGGATGTATTTCAATTGCAGCAGGCATGTTGTGATAGTATAATCTTGCATTGAGATAAGCTTTGCCCCTTTTCATAGATGAATCAAACACCATTCACCTGAAAGTGATTGAGCAACGTCCTGATCCCCCCATTGTACAAGAATATGACGTCCCTGTCTTCACCCAGGATAAAGATGACTTTTTAAATTCCCAATGGGATCTCACTACTCAACAGGTTAGTGCAAAAAATTAGCTTATAATGAACATAGAATAGAATGAACATAGAATAACAGAGTTGGAAGGGACCTTAGAGGTCTTCTAGTCCAACCCCCTGCTTAGGTAGGAAATCCTACACCACTTCAGACAAATGGTTATCCAACATCTTCTTTAAAACTTCCAGTGTTGGAGCAGTCACAACTTCTGGAGGCAAGTTGTTCCACTGATTAATTGTTCTAGCTGTCTCCTTAGTTCTAAATTGCTTCTCTCCTTGATTAGTTTCCACCCATTGCTTCTTGTCCTACCCTCAGGTGCTTTGGAAAATAGCTTGACTCCCTCTTCTTTGTGGCAGCCCCTGAGATGTTGGAACACTGCTATCATGTCTCCCCTAGTCCTTCTTTTCATTAAACGAGACATACCCAGTTCCTGCAACCATTCTTCATATGTTATAGCCTACAGTCCCCTAATCATCTTTGTTGCTCTTCTCTGCACTCTTTCTAGAGTCTCCATATCTTTTTTACATCGTGGCGACCAAAACTGAATGCAGTACTCCAAGTGTGGCCTTATCAAGGCATTATAAAGCTTGAAATAGTCCCAATCATGGATTTCACAATAATATCAATTGGAGGAAGAACTTGCCTGCAATTTTCCCCCTCCATGCCCACCACGAATTAATCTGAGGGATTAAAAATTGACTTGAACATAATTTTTCTCCAAGCAGGTTGAATATGTACGAATTTATTCAGCCTGTCCCCACTATTGAAAGGGGTTCTAGCTAAATGTTTCCTTGCTTTGAGATTCAGACTGCAACTTTGTGTTCTTAATACCTCTGTATTTATTTAATTGCATATTCAGTGAGAAAATTATTCATCAGAATGGAGTTTATTAAGAAGGGTAGCAGGATTCCATGAACTTTATAAATGGCAAAAAAGGTTGCAAATCATGGTCACATGCAGGGGTGGGATTCAAAAATTTTAGCAACCGGTTCTCTGCCCGGTTGCTGGGTGGGCATGGCCATGGTGGGCATGGCCTACTCGGCCTCCTGCACCACGAGTTTGGGGGGGGGCATTTTCACCTCCCCAGACTCCGGAGGCTTTTTTCAAGCCTCCGGGAGGGCGAAAACAGCCTCCCCCAGGCTCTGGAGACCCTCCGGAAATGAGCCCGTTTCCAGACTTCCAATAAGCCTGTTTTTCCAGTAGGCCCGTTTAGGTTTTTCCAGTAGGCCCATTTCTCCCCAGGTTCCAGAGGTCTTCCAGATGCTGGAAACGGGCCCATTTCCAGACTTCTGGTATTTCTGGTAGGCCTGTTTTTTGCCCTCCCCAGGCTCCGGAGGCTTTCCTCAAGCCTCTGGGAGGGTGAAAACGGCCTCCCCCGGGCTCCAGAGGCCCTCCGGAGGCCGCAAACAGGCCTGTTTCCAGAGTTCTGGGAGGCCCATTTTTTGTCCTCTCAGAGCCTACACGTGGGCGCTGCACTTACCTGGCATCCAAAACAGGCCTCATGGAGACTCCTGGGAGGGGCAGGGTGGAGTGGGCGGGGCCATCTACCAGTTCAGCGAACCAGATGTAAAATTAGCATCCGGTTCACCCGAACCAGTCGGAACTGGCTGAATCCCACCCATGGTCACATGTCCACAGGATGCTGCAGCTGGTCTTAAAAGCAAATCAATTTCCAAGCAGCTGAAATGGGATCATGTGACAGCATTGGGATGCAGGAAGGTAACTTCAAGGATGGGCTGTAAGTATATTTTTTGAGATCCATCATAATTGGTCATTAATTGACCATATGTTAAGCAAAGACTCCCTGTATTTTAGTTATCAATGGCAGATTAATTGAAAATGAAATTTATCTATGCAGTTATTTGTGTGCACATGAAGAGAGTTAATCTCGAGTGAAGCATGTGGATGTAGATATGAATATGCACACATTCCTTCTCTAAAACTTGGTATTTGCTAAGATCTTTGTTCAGCACAAAAGCAGCAATGCTTACATATGGTCAAAGGGGGAGAAATGTTAAAGTGACGCAAGCAGCACAATCTGCCCATTTTCTGTATGCATCGTAACGTTACACATTCAAGGGGGCTAAGGCTTGTGGCACAATGCTAAAATGCTGTTTTGCCATTCTGATCACAGCTGTTAAGAGTCCGCAAATCCTACTGCACAAAAGGAAATGGCTGTACAGGTAGCAAATGGTACCCAGATATTGACACTACTGCATGAGCTACATTGGCTACCAGTATATTTCTGGGTGCAATTCAAAGTGCTAGTTGTCACCTTTAAAGCCCACCATGGCTTGCGTCTGTGATACCTGAGGGACCACCTTTTTCCAATAGCCTGTACCAGTCCAATCTTGGGGATTGGACATGCTGCTGATCAGCCAGTGTTGACTGGTGGGGACTAGAAAATAGACCTTTTCTGCAGTAGCTCCTGCTCTGTGGAATATCCTTTCAGAAATTAGAATGGCTCCAACCTTGTTAGCCTTTCATAAAACTAAACATCAGGATGTGTTCCTGAACCTGCAGTGCTGAATGTGCTAAGGACTGTTATTGTCAACTGCCCATGTATCTCAGCAAACTTGAAGCAGCAGCTGCCTTTATTTGGGATGTTTTTAGAGGATTTTAGTTAGAGTTTTAAAATGCTTTTATTGTTTTGATTGTAGTATATTTTTTAATTGTAAGCCTCTCAGAATCATTGATTGAGATGTGTGGCTATAGAAACTAAATAAATAAATAATTTTAAAACATTCCAAGAACTAATGTTCACACCTGTCAATTCTGATCAGTTAAGCAATTAGTAAAGTGTTGGCAGCAGACCTTAACTTGCCTCAGCCACCCATTTAACTGTAGTTCACATGCAACAGTCATATTTCATGAGATGGGCAGCTACATACATTTGATAAGCAAACAAACAAAGTGAAAGGGCTTAAGACATGCTTCCACTGAAATCAAATGGTCTTTTATGTGAACATCTTCTCATCTTATTTTGTCTTTCTGATTTAGCTTATGAGGAAAAAAAATGTTTATATTTATGCATTGTTAACCTTACATTCATTGCATGCTTCCTCTCTCTCATTAGATCCTGCCATATATTGATGGATTTCGGCATGTTCAGAAAATATCAGCTGAAGCAGATGTGGAACTCAATTTGGTTCGAATTGCCATCCAAAACCTTTTGTAAGTGCTAGGTGCACAAAAGAAAAAGCTACTGGGATTGATTACAGGAAAGGAAAGAGAGTGCTTTACATGACATTATTGTGACGTAATGTAACATATAACATTTCAGCAACCACTCTTTAACATCCTCTTTACATTGGATTCTTTTTTGATGGCTGCAGAATTTTTATTGTGTATTCGTCTGATACCGTTTTGACCATAGTTTTAAAAAATCATACATGAAGGCTCTTTCTTTACCCTAATTCTGCAACTTTAATCATCTTCCTAATATTTTCATAGGATTTAACTAACAGCTTTTCTCCACATACTGTAAATTGGAGAAGTGGAAGGTTACCTTGAATTAATATCACATATCCAATCACTTGTGATACTGGTTTCTCTATAATTTATTTTCTGGATTTTTTTTCTTATAATATACATATAGTTTTCTATGTTTGTTACTTTCTAATGTGTTTCTTTTTATTGTTAGATACTACAATGTAGTCACTCTTGTTTCAATACTTCAGGTGAGTAGAATGTGCATACAGTATGATGAACTGAGATGAGCCTTGGTGGTGCAGCGGTCTAAAGTGCTGTTAAGTAGCTCTTAGCTGCCAGCTGCCTGCAATTACTGTGAGTTCAAATCTCACCAGGCTCAAGGTTGACTCAGCCTTCCATCCTTCTGAGGTAGGTAAAATGAGGACCCGGATTGTGGGGGCAATAAACTGACTGTATAAAAAAGAACACCGCTTAGGCGGGGGCCAAAAGCCCTACTAAGCAGGTATATACCAAAGTATGAAGGCTATTGCTTAACGCATTGTAAGCCGCCCTGAGTTTCTGGAGAAGGGCGGCATATAAATCAAACCAATAAATAAATAAACGATAAAATATCAAGTTGATATATTGGCATGATTATGCATATAGAGCAATTGTTTCTCCAATAATCCCTTCCTGCTTCAGCTCATAATAAACTGATGAGAAATAAAAGGATATGCGTAGACGCATGCATTTATAATCTGTTACATTATCACAGGAAAGAGTGTTGATCTCTGTCTTCTACAGCTCCTGTATCTTTTTCAATTAGGCTTTAATGAAACCCCAAAACAGAAAATTTGAGATTATCTAGTCCCATTTTAAATAAAAAGGGAAGCCCTAGTTATCATACAGGATATTTTGATGCTTAAAAATCTGATAGTTATTAATGAAATGAGCAGTCCCTGATATTTGAAAACAATATATCTCAAGTACATGTCTTAGGGGAAAAAAGAATGGTTACCATGGAAAGAATATGTATGCTAATTGCCAAAAATGTTAAGAGTTCAGCTACTATCTTGAGGTGTCAAGGAAGGTGTCTTAGAAGCTGTAGGAATTCACTATTCTAACCCACCTCGCCCAGGGAACAGAGATGCTGCTGATGTTAGAAGAGAAAATTGACTTTGGTGCTCATCCTCCATCTTTATCAAGGCCTTTTGAGCATCAGAAAAAGGCAAAGGGACACTTTATTTCTTCTATGAGCCAGAACCTTCCCAGCTCTCATTCTGTATCAATTAAGATTGATCTGCCCCTTCATCAGAAAACTGTATTCTAGAGTTCCAGATTTTAGACTGCAGGTACGGCAGAAGTTCTATGATCTCAGTGAGAAAGTTCTATAACCCAAAAGGCAAAAGTTTGTTAATTATTACTATAAAGTAATATACTATACTATAATGCTACTTGATACTATTTGATTATTTCATGTAATGCTAAAATTATTATATGCCACTATGAATCCTGTTGGAATGCTTTTGATGAGTAATTAATCGGAATCCCAGGAGTAGCTAAAACGCTGCAATTCTGCCACTATTGACTGAAATCTCTTTTTCCCCTCCCACAGTACTCAAATGTTTACTGCACAACTCCTAAAGTTCAGGATCTAGTGGATGATAAGTGTTTGCAAGATGAATGTCTCTCATATGTCACAAAACCAGGTAAAGAAGCATGGATGGCTGAAAATATAGTCCTGTTTGTATCTGTTCAAACTACATCCTTGGGAGTTGAGTTGAACTTAATTTCAGGAAAGTGTGTATTTTCCACCTAATTCAGGGGAACTAGTATAAAATTGGTTCTTTTCCTCCTACTTATCAAGTATGTTCTTCCTGTTAAAATATTTGGGACAGATTGCGTAAAATCAAAGGTTATTAATATAAGCTATTTACTAAGCTATTGTACCATATAGTTCCATAAAACAATCATTTCATGACAGAAGTAGTCATATGAATAATGTATAGCAGATAAAATTAATTAGTTTGCTCTTGGCTGACTTTCAGTCCAAAATAAAAATCTTATAACAATTTAATTGCTGGCATTGCCACTGACAGCAACAGTTCCATAAACTATATTTGGCAGTACAGATTAATTTGCATCCACCCTTGGAATGATATTTTTAGTGTTTATTTAGGCTAAATGCAATCCACATTGTAATATTGAATGCTGTTCTTATTTAATTTTTAGCTATTTTGTTGGTAGACATCATCTTCAGCAGCTTTCCCAATTTTGTTCTGTGACTATTTTCTATAGGACATAAGCGAGCCAGTTTGAGAGATGTTTTCCAGCTCTACTGTGGACTGAGCCCTGGGACAACTGTTCGAGACCTTATTTGCCGCTATACCCTCCAACTCCAGAGAGTGGATGAAAGGTAGGAAAGCTTCCCCTCCCTTCAAAAAACCATAATTCAGCAACAGTATATGCCACATAGAGCAATTAAAGGTTAAATGTGTCTGGTTTCAATCTAATCACTGTTGTCTTATCTACAAGGCTGAGAACTTTGCTTGAGAGCTGTATTCATCAAACTACAATTCCTAGGGCTCTATCTAGACAAGTAGAAGCAGCACAGCTCAGCTTACTTAACAATGGATATATATTTTCAGAACAAATACATCCTTTTCTTTTTTCCAGCTGCTAGATCACATAATAATGAGCTAAATCAAAATATGAAGTTCCTTATTTTAATTTGTTTTCTATCCTATTCTTTTCAGTAAACCTGTGTGTAAGAAGAGTCTGGTTATTTGATTAGTAACAGTAGCATTACTTAGTCGCATAAAATGACATTCTTGCTGCATAAGTGTTCAGACTTGTCTTTTAGTATCAACTGGGCAAAGCATTCGTTTGTTCTAGAAAATTTAGAAACTTAGGGATGTCTGGAAAGAGAAATAATTGTCATGATCTGTTTGTGTCCATCAAACATGTAACATGTACGTCATATACTGTTTGTCAATTGTAGCAGGCAGAAATTTGATAATTGTGTGCCTATTGGTTGATCTTAAATTGTCCTTTGAGCAATTCCCTCTCCAAATACTCATTAAATACATGAGTATGAAATGTATGAAAAAGGTTCTTATATTTTCACCTCTTTCAATATTTATATCAAAATTTTCCATGCATGTGTGCACTATAACAGTCTGGTACAGTACAGAAAAAAAACAGTCCAAAAGAACACATTTCTGTACCAGAAATACATATATATATCATTCCTGTGGATCTCAAAATCCATCTAGATAGCAAAAAAAGAAACACTGCACAGTGTCTTAAGAGCCATGGTGGCTCAGTGGTTAGAATGCAGTAGCTATTAGCTAACTCACTGCTCACTTCAGTAGTTCAATTCTGAGCAGCTCAAGGATTGACTCAGCCTTCCATCCTTCTGAGGTATGAGGACCCAGATTGTTGGAGGCAATATGCTGATTCTGCAAACCGCTTAGAGAGGGCTGTAAAAGCACTATGAAATGATAAATAATTCTAAGTGCTATTGCTATTGTTATTAAATATTTCTGCATCTTTCTCTTGTTTAGAAAACTTATCCAGTTTGGGTTGATGAAGGGTCTTATTCGGCGGCTCCAGAAATATCCTGTAAAAATAGTTCGGGATGAAAGAAGTCATCCAGCTCGACTATACACTGGCTGCCATAGCTATGATGAGATTTGTTGTAAAACAGGTAAGGAATTATATTCTCTGTATTCATCTACTCAGAACACATACAGTAACTTATTAATAGATAACAAAGCAGAAACAAAATATTTTTAAAAATAAATAGGAATAACATTATACCAAACAATTCTAAAGCCAGGACAATCTTTAGATTATTTGGAAATATAAATCAATTTCCTAATTGATTTTGCCTAAGCAATAGAATTATACTAATGCTCTTTCATCATTATTTTTTACTTCTCTCTAGGAATGAGCTATCGGGAATTGGATGAAAGATTAGAGAATGATCCCAATATAATTGTTTGTTGGAAATGAGACTCTTTGAGACATGGGATGATTATTATGCCCTGTTAACTTTTAATTGGACTGCATGAGATATTGTGGTGGCCCCAGGACTCTTCTGGCTCATGAAAAACAGCATGGCTTAAACTGTGGTAGTCCCTGGAAAAAAATGCGGTAAATGGATTTGACTCTCTTTGATCAGCAGAGATGCAGAACCATGCTTCTTTTTTTTTGTGGAGGGTGTGTTAAAAGACACACAGCAGTATAAAGAAACTTCAAAAGTCTATGGTGTTGAGCAAGGGATAAAATAGTTTGAAAATAGTTTGGAAGGAACTGAAGTGGAAAAATGCCTAGCAGGGAATGCTGTACCATAAATTCTCTTGCTTAATCTGCTGCTCCTCAGCAACAGCAGAAAAATCTATTCTGCTTATTACATTCTGGATTTTTCACCCTAACTAATAACTATATGCTTCTCTATCATAATATGCCTTCTTCTTTAACAAAAGGGATCTGGATGTCCCATACCCACTTGAAATCCTTTGAGTTTTGAAAAAAATCTGCAGATTATAAATAATGGATAATCATGCTAATAAAAAGCATGCACGCTCTTTTGGGGAAGTAAAACTGGAAATACAGCTGCAGCATAGTTATATTTAATATAATTGGGCTAAACCTATTTACCTTGTATACTTTTCAAAACTACTGGTTGTGAGAAAGAATTATGGGCCTCTTCTATTTTATATAGTTCATATAAACTAGAATATTTTTATGTGGAAATTTAATGCAAATGCAGCAATTGAAAGGGAAACTAAACAGCAAAAATAAAAAAAATTGTTTAGAGTCTCTAATTCATTATTTGATATCTTCCTCTTATAAATTGATTAAAGCTTTTCTATCTGAAGACAACTTGATGTATATGTGTGGAATTTTGATAAAATGTGAGTGCTACCACAAACTGACTACTTTAGTAAAGGCAGACAGTGCCAAATACAAGTGGTCCTCACTTATCGATCACAATTAGGACCAAAAACTCTGTCATGAAGCGATGTGATTATAAAGTGAAACATCACATGACTAATCCCAACAATTACGGCTGCAGCTATGAAGCATGATGTCACATGACCAAGTGTGACTTCCTGCTGGCTTCCGCATTGATTTTGCTTGTCAGGAACTGGCTGTGAAAATCATAAATAGCGGTCACATGACTGCAGGACTCTTCAATGGTTATAAATGTGCACTGGTTGCCAAATCTTAAATCACATCAACTGAGGAGAGTAATGCAGTGGCCACAATTTTGGGGACCAGTTGCAATCTCCTTTTTCGGTGCCATTGTAACTTCAAATGGCTACTGAATGAGTGATAAGCCAGGACTAACTGTATTCATTTGAAACCATACTGAGGACATTTCTCTCGCAAGACCTCCCAAGCCTTGGTAGTACAGTGGTTTAATGCACCCTGTTATTAACACAGCTGCCTGCAATTTCTGCAGGTTCGATTCTTACCAGGCTCAAGGTTGACTCAGCCTTCCATCCTTTCTAAGGTAGGTTAAATAAGGACCCAGTTTGTGGGGGCAATAAGCTGACTTTGTATAAATATACAAAAGTATGAAGGCTATTGCTTAACGCATTGTAAGCCGCCCTGAGTCTCCGGAGAAGGGCGGCATATAAATCAAATAAACAAAAAAAAAAACAAAAAAAAACTTAATCACATTACTTAACTGTCTTTTTTATGTGGGTGTGTCATTTCCAAATACAGCACTGGACTATATCTCCCCTGTAATTTTCATTTTCTAAGAATATTCTGTATACATATATATATATACACATACATGAACATACATAGAGGATACAGAGGCATTGCTGGAAATAAAAGTGTTACTTGAGCAAATGTTTTTTCAATATGCTAATTTCTCATTACTTTAAAAATAAAGTATGTTAATGTCCACGTGTGCTATGCTATTTATGAATACAGTAGCAAGTATCTATATTTGGCAAATATATACATCTTAGCTGACCTAAAGTCCTGTAACAGTTTCACAAACTTTTTACATTCTATTACTGCTGCATTCTATTAAATTGATGTTGATTATGTGTCATGAATTTCAACTCTTAGCGGCCACATAGATTTGCTGCTTGAGTATATCTAAGCTAATGGAAATTATTGTTTTAAAAGTATATTTTCTGAATCTCATTTTTATTTTAGAGAGGTGCTCCATAATCGTTGAGAGGGAAAAGAGATTTGAGTCTAAATAGAATCTCAAATTGACCTTTTTGTACTTTTTTCTCTGCCAGCTTGATAAAACTCAGTTTGATTATTTATGTTTTGGGGGTAAATAGCTGTTGAGCACATAAAAGATTATTTTTGAATATATCATCATTTCAAGAAGAGAAAAGCCTCAGATTACCAAGGGAGTATTCTGATTTTTAAAAACTGCATTTGAGAACAAAAAGAATATTTTAGCATTATAATTACAAGCTACTGTGTACTTCAGGGATTAAAGATGTATAACTTCTAGTTTAGATAAAACCTGACACATTTCTGTTTTGTCCTGATTGCAGCTGTATTCATATTTATACTTTCATCTCTTCTTTAAGGGTCTGTCTCTTGATGCATTTTGTTGTTATTGTTCACAATTCTGTAAGGCAAGTTAGGTACCCAAGTAAATAGTTCCAAAAGATCAAAGTAATTTCCTGGAGGAATTTGCATATGCTCTCTTTAAATCCAGCCAATATTTTTATTTGCTGAGATTCCAGATCAAAATTAGTTCTCCTCCTTGTTTACGACCAGTGAGCTGTCAGCACTGATCATATTAGTATCATGTGCCAGGGTAGAATGTGATTGAATAGTCTGCAGTTTACTGCTGTTGTGCAAGATTTGTTACTTTATTTAACTAAAACAAAGCCAACCCTAAATAAATCTGGGCATGGATGAGGACCACTAGGATTTCCTAGGCTCTTTCATACAGCCTGGAGAATTCTGAGAGTTGAAGACAAGTCCACACATCTTATCGTTGCCAAGTTTGAGAAACACCAGCCTAAGCTAAGCAGGGAAGTCCAAAGACAGAAACAGATGTGTTCCATGAAATCGAGACGAGCCTAAATTTGCGAGGGGCTTTGTGTTCTGCAAACCGAAGTATTGTAATAACTGGTCCATTGGTTGATTTCCAAGTAACCGCCTCCTCCCAAATGTCTCTGTTATTAATTTATGGGCTAGCACGTTGAGCGAACCAGCCAATGAAATCCCAGCCGGCAGGAAGAAGCCGCCATACTGGGGGGCCGCCGCTAGAGGGAGAGGCACCTGGGGAGCGCGAGCTCGTCACCACGGCAACGGCGTCGGCCTTGAGCTTTGTCAGCCGGCGCCATGGAGGATCTGTTGCCGGAGGTTTTGCTGCCGGGCGAAGCCGAGATCTTGGTGGAGTCGCTCAGGAGTTTCCAGCTGCGGGATATCGGAAGCCATGAGTACGGGAGAGGAGGAGGGGGATGGGGAGCGGGGTGCGAAGGGGAGACAGAAGGCTCGCAGGGGAGAAACTCGCTACGGCAGGTTTCGGCTTTGCCTCGGGGGTTGAATGTCAGTCGGGGCTACGGGCTTTCCTTTCCTCGAGCAGCCCCCTGCTTATTCTTATACAGAAGTGGAAGACAAATCCATTTGCAAATAAATAACTTGTTACGACCGGCAGTTGTTATTAAAAGACCTCAAGTCGTGTTTTCCCATGTATTTAAGCGTATGGGATAAAGAAGGGGTCTCCAAACTTGGCAGCTTTAAGACTTGTGGACTTCAACTCCCAGAATTCTCCAGCCAGCTATGCTGGGAGAATTCTGGGAATTGAAGTCCACAGGTCTTAAAGTTGCCAAGTTTGGAGACTCCTGTTCTAATGGAAGAGAAAATGGTAAGAAATACCATCAAAGCCATCAATACCTGGGCCATCCCTTTGGTTCAATATATTTGGACACACGCTAAACTGGATAGCCTGGACAAGAAAAACAAGAAAACTGATGATTATTCACTATGCGTTAATTCCCTTAGCGATATTGATAATTATACCTGCCTCACAGAAATGGAGGCAGAGGTTTATTTCAAGTGAAACAACTGCCGAAGAAGAAAAGCGTGCATTGGCTGATGATGAAAAAGACAGCGGAGAACAAGCATTGATGCAGGTTAAAAATTTGGAACTTATTAAAAGTACAGGAAACAAAAAGTGAATATCAAAATAATGTAATAAAAACTAGAGCAGTATGCTGGCAACAAAAATCATTACATGGTCAGTTTCTACAAAAGATACAGAGGAAAGTGGATAAAGATAAAATCTAGCAATGGCTTACAACTGGAACATTAAAAAAAGAAACTGAAGTTTTGATTTTGGCTAAGCAAAAGCAAGCTATTTGAATTAATGTAGTCAACGTCAGAATTGAGGGAAAAATCATTAAAAGAGCAGATCATGCAAAGAAGTATAAAAAACCAACATATAGATTACACAAGAAGATTATGAACAATAGAATAGAATAACAGAGTTGGAAGGCACCTTGGAGGTCTTCTAGTTCAACCCCCTGCTTATATGACATATCACAATCAACAAAAGTATTCATTGAAACATCTCTAAAACTTCTACTTGCCCATTATTGCAATCACTGTTGCGTATTCACAATTTTGTTAGCACTTATCTAAAGTATGTTTCAATCCCATATCACATAAGCATACTTTTATTTGATCTGAGATCTTTCTTTCTCAGTCTTCTTCTACAGTAATTATTTCCAAAATCAGCTTTAGAAAGAAGTTTAGAGAAAAAGGATTTACAGAGTAGAGAGGGCACTAGACTAACCAGTGCCCTTTCCCTTGGCAGAGAGATATCATTGAATAACTCTGAAACAAGGGTTGTGTATTTATTAGTGGAAAAATACCCTCCAAAGTGAATGAAGAGCAAATTCTGTTAGTTTTCCACTAGGAAAATTCAATGTCTGACTTTAGCAAGCCAAGGAGTTACCTTTGAGATTTTTCTCAAAATTGGATTACACTGGAAAATATAGGTGATTAAAAACAACATTGGCAGGGAAATACCCTTCCATTTACAGTAGGGTGAATTATGTAAGACTGTGATTGCAATAGTGGTTGTAGGGAAGTATTGGAATACCAATCATAGACATGAACTGAAAGCTAACGTACAGTGACAATAAAGTTGTTATTATTAATATTTTACTGTAATTCCTAGGTGGCTACGGCAACAGCAAATGATTGAAAAGTTGAACATGCAAGCCATACTGAGTGCTTCTGCTGGCCTTGAGCAGATCCTTATTGAGCTTCTGGTGAATAATGGCAAGGTATAATGAATTTAGCCACTTAGTCACAAGAAAATCATTATATTATGACAAAGGCTACATTAACCTGAATAAATATGAACTTGATTTGGATCAAAATCTCTTTTATTATTTATGTGTTTGGCAATATTTATATTTAGAAATGCATAGCTTTATACAATTACTTTCTGGATCAATTTAATCTTACTGTAATCATATAAACATATACAGCAATAGCACTTAGACTTATATACCGCTTCACAGTGTTTTACAGCCCTCTCTAAGTGGTTTACAGTGTCAGAATATTGTCCCCAACAATCTGGGTCCTCATTTTACCAACCTCAGAAGGATACCTTTGCTCTAGTTATACAAATTAAGTGGCAGGATAGAAACAATATGCTTCATTTCTCTATGGAGATTCTCAGTCATCCAGGTCATGGTTGTCCCAAATGTGCTTTTTCAATAGGCAACTGGATTTAGTTTTTCTTTGAAGATGCTCTGCTTCTCGTCCAAGAAGCTTCCTTAGTTCTGAACTGATGAGAAGCGAAACATCTTCAAGGAAAACCAAAGTCCAGTTGCCTTTTGAAAAAGCAGCTTTGGGACAATATGCTTCGTTAGCACTTTGTAAATTTCATAACTTAACTACAGCCCTTTGATTAAATTATGAGGAAATAATTCATCTGGAATGAATGGTTTTAACTGTATACATAAACTATAACCCTACTGGAGGAAACATCATGACTAGGCAAACCTACTAAGGACATGCATTGAATGAGCGCATGAGCAAGATACAGATACGTATTCCTTACAAAACAAAATATGTTTCCATTATTGTTACAAATAATATTTCTTGTCTTTCTGAGTACAGAAATAGAAGTAAAATAAGAAAGCCTTCTGCTTGGATTTAATTTGTCTCTATGAATTCAGGCATCAGACAGAAGTTTCCCAAGTTTATGTAATACGTTTCCTGTTATTTATGATCTCAACCTTGCAAACAGTATACTTAATTTATCCATTCTGTATAGATCCCAACTCTCATTGAAGAATTAATTACTGTGGCCATTTGGAAGCAAAAAATCTTCCCTATACTATGCAAACTGGAGGATTTCAAACCAAAAAGCACATTTCCTTTGTATTTAGTGGTATGTATTCAAAAATGCTTTGAATCAGCTTTTGTATAATACTTGCTATTAAAACATTTCAAAGCTTCCTGTAAGATCTACTTGCCAAATAATGCTTCTGATATTTATTTATTAGAGTAATAATGTATATCTTATTTTTTGTAAGAGCTAGTGAGGGTCAAGGCATAAGGCATTCTTAGTTGTGGAAGTTCATTGACTTTCTGCCTCTTTTTTTTCTCAACCTATCATAGAATTTTTACTGTGAAAAAATAGAGGAAGGAATGCAATATAACTCCTGTTGAGTTTCTCAAAGAAAGAAGAATGTGAACCTTACAAACAAACAGTTCTGCATTATATTGCAGATTATTTTCAGTAAATTTATATAAAAGATACTGTCAAAACAGAAGCTGTAAGAAATTGAAGGAGAGCACCTCTTCAGATAATAGAAAATCAGTTTACACATTGGATTTCAATATATAATACAGGTTGGCTTGTTTTATACAAAGTAGAAAACATTCAGTACAGTCTGTTTGGATAGCACAAGCTCAGAACAAGGGAACAGTTCTGAATTCTTTCTCACACTTTGACAAAGAAGAGGAAGGAGAAATAACTATATTCACATTGTGTTCAGCTATAGCTTGTTAGGTTGTCTAATACTTTTACTGTTTTTAATTCTATGCTTCCTGGTATCTCAAGAGGCCGCACAAATGCAATATTGTTAATTTCTGATTCTGTATTACCTTGTTTTCTCAGAATGGTAATATTTGTATTAATTTTTGATTTCTCTCTGCTGTCTCTCATTCAGCTGCGACAGGAAGCTTCAATTATTAATTTCTTGGAGACAGTATTTTTTCACAAGGTAGGCAATAGTTTCACAATGTAAATAAAAGTTTGAAATAAAAATTTCAGTTCATAATTTAGACCATTCTAGAAGAAACACAATTATCTGACTAAATTGTTAGTGCAGTAAGAATTAGAACTTCAATCTAGAAAACAGCTGCTGGTATAAACATATTTTCTTCTATTGCCTTAGTTATGTATATACCTTGCATTCCATCTTATTTTAAATAGTAATAGGTCCATCCACTAGTACTTTCTTTTCAAATAGAATGACTTTGAAATGTCTATTTGTATCTTGAGATTTTGGGCTGGACAAATTCATATAATATTTCATATAATTTCATTCTGGAGACCCAAATTGACTATAAATAGTCCTAATAAACAGGAGAACCAATTATACTTTTTATATTTTAATCTGGTGCTCCCCAAACAATAAGAGAAACAATGAGTATATACTTCCCTCCTTTGGAATCAACTGATCTAAACTGATTTAATGTGCAAGGTAATTCCTCTCAGGTGCTTACTTGCCTGGCATTTATTTGTTTGGAAACCATATTTCAAACTCAACAGCTTTATTCATTTGCACCTGACCATGGCATAAACATACCCGTGACATTATTTTTTCTGCCATTGCCTTCATCCCATCTGCAGCACAAGAATGAGACAGGCATAAGGTACCTTTTAACTATATTGCTATTAAAATAGTATTTCTCCCATTGTTCTGATATAGCAAAGGCAGCCCTAACATGTATAAAATATATCTGTTACTTCAAGGGAAATTAGATGCCTCCAGTGGCTTAGAAACAGAGCCTTAGAGAAGAGGCAAGGATTGGTAATGGGGACAGCAATATTCATTTCACATTGACTCAAGAATGGATAGAGAAAGTTTAGCTCATCTATGAGAAAAAGGTTGAAACTTTTAGATAATGTTAATATTTCAAAATAATTGACTTCTCTTCTTTTTGTTGAATTATCTAAATCCTATGATAATCTAGAAGAAAGGGACAAGATTCATCCTCAAACTGGATGCATCCCTGGCTAGGTTTCTTGCTGTTTTCTGTACTGTTGTGATCACCCCTGCAAATCTTTCTCAAATAATTGCTCTTTCAGTATCAATACCATTCCATTTTTCTTTACTTTGAGCGAATCCACAATTCATTCCTTAGCAATACAAAACCAGATAAGGTATTTTGCTGGCCGTTGGGAATACAAAATTTTGCATGCCTGTCAAGGTAGGAATCTATTTTAGATGGAGAAGGAATTTATTGTACCAAGTCATAAGGTACAAAATTATAATTGACAAAGATTGTTTGAGAAACAATCTCTGAGAACATTTTTCCAGACAACTAATGAGTAGACTAATCTACCAGCTGAGACAAAATTAAGACAATTTAAGCGTTCTTGGTATTTGCCTTCATTTTGGAAGATGTTTCCATAAAATATAGCTTGTTGTCTTTGTATAGGAAATCTGTGAATCAGCAGAGGATACCATTCTGGATTTAATAGATTATACCTATAGAAAACTGACCCTGCTAGCAGCTCAAAGTGCCAATGGGAAAATACCATTTGAACAAAAGTTTCAACCTGGGGATCTTGCCAGTCTTTCATCAATGCAGGTGAGTAAAATTATCTCTTATTCCTAGGCAGCCACTCTAGGTAAAGGGAAAATATAGGATATCATAATTGAACACAGTTGCAAAATGTTGGCTAGCCATGAAAGAAAGTTTAAATCAAGTTTCTTCATTCTGTGGTGACCTGCGAGTACGCAGAAATGTCACAATTAGCCTTCTTAAGAGAGAGTAACACAGCGCTCTCTCTTCCATCAGTATAACAGTATAATTATCTGCTTGTGTCTTATCTTCCACCAATTGAAATTGGTTGGCCTCAAACCTTTTAGGGTCCAATTTCCTAACATATCCATTGTATTTACATCCAATTGTTTATACATTTTGTTAGCTTTTCTCACAATTATACTCTTTCTGCTTGGCATTTTTCTGGCTCTGATCTTCCCTCCCAAGATAGAGAACTCTTCTAGAGAAATCTTATGTTTGGATCACACCCCAAATAAAGACATTACACAATGTCACTATTCCATTTATTATATTTTCTTCCTCATTTTTCTCTATTGTTAAGTATTGTATATTTGTTTACCACAAATAGCCAATCAAAAGCAGTAATATTTGTTCCCTCATACAATTTATCTAGCACTTTACATTTTTCTTATGAAATTATCTTGGACTGAGGGCTTTTAGCAACACAGTTGAGGGTCATCACACTTCAGATTGGTTCTTAAACTCTTAGCAACACATTTTTTTCACAAGTAAGAACATGCTTGGAGCCATCTAAACTCAAAATCAGATCATATATTTCTTTAACTCTCATGAAAAGAACAGTTACCCTATTACCATGCAACCTCTTGGGTATTTAGATTTTGGGATCAAATTGATATGGAATAACAGTATTGGCATTAAAAGAGTTTTTCTAGGAAAACCTTTTCAGAATTCAGAGGCCACTGCCATGGCTGCCCTCCAAATGTCCAGCCATTTCTTAAAATTTTAGGAACCTCAGATTTTCCTATCTAATAGGATTGTATTAAGGATCTTTTACTCTTTTCAGGAACTAAAGAAGCAAGCTGAAATGATGGAGTTTGAGATCTCATTGAGAGCTCTTTCAGTGTTCCGTTTCATTACTGATGTGATAGAGAGGTATGTTAACTTTTCATAAAAGAAATAAAGCACTTGGGAAAGATAATCTTTTCAATAGAAGAGACTATATGTACTGTAGCTCAGGGCTGAACTATTGAGTCCTTGGAACTCTCTGAGCTTGATCGTTTGTTTGTGGAGTTTTTTTACACTACAAGCTAACATCATCACTGTTCGTGAGTGTGGAGCTTATTCCCTACTTACATACAGTTGTTTGTCCTGCCAATGTTGGTGAAGGTGTGAATCAACTTGGTAGGTTGATTGTTTGTCTGGGGTTAATCCATGCTTATCTGAGTGTTGGCTGCTACAAGGGATGTGTTCTGGTCTTTTTTCCCCATTTTAACTTTTTGTCATATCTTTTGAAAGGTATATAAATATGGTTTATTTCTATAAAATCTATTGACAGCTGATTCGTCTGAATGCCAAGCTTCTAGGAATTCCCTAGTGTTTTGGGATTTGGCTTGATTCAGGATGCTTACAGTTTCTCAGCTGAAATTGTTGTTGAGTCTGTCCATATGAGATTAAGTTTTCATAATGTCTTCTGACTGCTAGTTTACATCCATGGACACGCTCTGCTAGTCTTCTGCCTGAGTGTCATACATATTGGCTGTTACAGTCTTTAAACTATATGCTGTAGATCAGGAATCCACAACTCCCAGACACAGACCAGTACCGCTCTGAGGCCCATTGGGAACCAAGCCACGCAAGTGGTGCATGAAGCTTTATTTATGCATGCACAGGATTAGGTTGCATGCACAAACCCATTCCTTTCCCCTGCCACTGCTGCCACCACTGCCAGACCATGGAGCCAAAAAGGTAGGGGACCACTGCTGTGTAGATGATTCCAGTTTTTGTGCTTGGACTCTTGGGTGTTATGGTTTAAGTTGTTTTGGGGGGCTTTAATTGCCAATAAAGGAGAATATTTGTAGCTCGGTTGAAACGAGGAGTCCTTGGTGCTCTCTGAACTTGCTTGTTTTCTTGAAGATGTTTCATTACCCAATTTAGGTAACATCATCAGGGCTTTAGTTGATTTACATGCTACAGAGATGCTATGGGTTTGTAATAATCTGTTGGTGATTTCATACCTTGTGTTGGTTGTGCTCTAGTGGTTTGAGAGGTCAGATACTTTTTTTACTAAAGTTTTATTTTGTTGGAAGATGTTATGTAGGCAGTCTGGTGTTCCAGTTTTCTGCAGTGCATTTGTGATCATCTGAATCATGTTCTCACATAGTTCCTCTTGTGGGTGATGGGGTTGTTACTAAAGCAAAATAATTTGATTTCCATAGCATGGTGTTATTGTGTTTTATTTCTTATTTTTTATTAAAACTTGCATTAAAAGGAACTGGTCTCAATGTCTGGTCTGGTGGTCAGGATTTGATAATAATCTGGTTTTGGCAGTGGTTCTCATACTGACCAAAATGTTACAGAATTAGGATGTAACTATATACTTCAGTTTGTAGAACAAAGTATATGCTATGATCAACCAAATTATCCCACAGTTTTGAAATAGCTCCTAAAAATAAATATTTGACATTTAAGATTTCCAAAATTGGGACATAATTTCTGCCTTGTTTTTTATTGTTTAATGTGATAAAGGTCTGAATATGCATTGGTATAAAAGCAAATTACATTGGTATAAAAGCAAATTTGAACGTTTTAATGGTATTCTTATTAAAGTAAAGATAACATTTCAGGGATCAATTACCTACCGGTAGTAGTAGTAAACCTTATATATAAAATCTGCAATGTTGAAAGTACTATTTCTGTGGTATAAAAACGTAGCTTTATACTTTGTCATGTGAATTCTTTTAATTGTTGAAATATTATGGAGGTATCCTAACATGAGTGTAATTGGGATTATAATTTTGTCACATTATTACAAATTAATAAAGACATTGTCAAACCTGAGGAAGAATGAAAACGGCTTCATTGCATAAAATGCACATGTTCACTATATCCTTTTTCTCTCATATACTTTGTCAGTTTGCCAGTAAGTGCTGTGACAAGAATGTTGAATACCCACAATTTTCCATGCCTTCTGGTGCAGCTGTTAGAGCATTGTCCATGGACCAATCGTGAAGGAGGTCTGTATCATGTCTTAGAAATTCTCTCTATGTGTGCCAAAGTAATATAGTGAACATTTATTTCTATTTTCTTTTTTTATTAGGAAAGAATAGATTTTTTAAAAATCTGACTTTTTCTGGTTGATACTTCTTTTTCCATTGGCTAAAAGATTATCATGGCACCTATTGATTAAATTTTTGGTTGTTGCTGAATATAGTTTAAGATTTTGAGATAAATTAGGAAATTCTTTCAAACCCCAAGACTTTTTAGTGCCATTTGTCCTCCGTGTTTCTATCAACACATATGATATTTCAGTATCTATAACAAATGCCTTTGTTAATTTTTAAAACTGTGCCTCGCATTCAAAGCAGAGGTTTTGGAAATGTAGGAACACATACAAAGCATCTTTTCAAATCTTTAAAGCAGCCATGTCTTTTTATGGGTTAGATGTCTTCTTTGGAAACTCTTCCCGGCTATCACTGTACACAGGTGTTTATATAACACACAAATGTAAACAGATAGTTGAAAAAAGACATGGCTACTTTAATTATTAAAAAAGACAGGCTTCTGATGTAACTCACATGTCCCAAAAGGCTTCTTTCAAAAAAATATGTTGCCCTATAATTTCTCATCATTTTTGGAAGGCTTTGCCCAACATCTACTATTTTCATTACTTTCTGAACTTTAGTTGATGCAATTTGTGCATCATTTCATTTCATGTTCATTTCAGAAAATCTAAGCAGTGCAGTTGTCATCGTGTGACTAGACCCAATTTTAGAATCATTATTACATGGCCGTTAAGCAAATCACTTCAGTCTTTATGCAAATCCAGATTCCCCAATTATCTGCTTGTTGGAAACCATCTGGGAAGGTCACAAATCATGATCACATGACTACAAGACACTGCAACTATCATAAATTCGAGCTGGTAGTCAAGCACCTGAATTACAGTGATGTGACTGCAGGGGTGGTACAATGGTCATATCTTCGAGGACAGGTCATAAGTCACTTTTTCCAAGGCCATCACTACTTTGAATTGTTCTTAAAGAAACAGTTGTAAATTAAGGATTTGCTATAAGTTGATACATTAGTCTGATGTTACAAGCAGAGAACTCCTTTTGTTTGAGAAAGATATATATCCAAGAGAAATATTAAGGGCATCTCAAAATAAAATACATGAAAGGCATTGATTTTAATTGAACTCTAAAGTTCAAAAGCCTCAGCAGATGAAAATAGGACCTAACCAAATGTGGCTGACCTCAGAAATTAAGCAGGGTCAGCCCTGCCTAGTATTGTATGCAGATGGAGGACTGCCTGAATTTCAGGGTTAGCTAGACTTGAAAAAAAAACATGCACCCAAAAAACCCAACAGCAACCTATGTAGGTACAATTGCCAATAATAGCTTAATGAAAGTTTATGTTTTCTAAAGTTTCATCAAGAAATCAATGTATTGTTATATCTGAAAACTTTATTTCATTTCAGTGGAGAAGCCTTTTTCCAATTTATATCCTCTAGATATGTTTTGACTCACTGATTGGGAATTCTAAGAATTGTAAGCCAAGCACATCTGGAGGACACTAAGCTAAAAAAAAAGATTACTAGGAAAATCCCATTATTATTCAGACTCTAACTCTCTATCACATGCCTTGTGCATTCAAACCAATGCAGTTTTTATTATTTTATGCAATTGAAATATATTACCAGTTCCAAATGGGATCCCCAAGTCCACTGACAAACCCATGTCTCCAAAGCTTTGCGGAAAATCTTATCTCTGGGAATGATGTTCCAAAGGGAGGGAGCCATCAAAGAGAAGACCCTTTTCCTATGTCCCATCAGATGTGTTTCCTTGATTGTTGGGACTTGTAACATGCCCTGCCTTCCTACTCTGGTAGATGTTATTGAGGAGAGGTGGTCCATCAAATAATCTGGCCCCTAACCATGTAGAGCTTTAAACCAGCACCTTAAATTGCACCTAGAAACAGGTGAAGTCGGCAACCAGTGCAGCTCTGGCAAAAGAATTTTTGCACATGTGTAAAGATGACACATATGGACTTGCATAAAACTATGAGGCAGTGGTGAAATCCAAATGTTTTTACTACTGGTTCTGTGAGCGTGGCTTGGTGGGCATAGTGTGGCAAAATCTCCATTCCCTCTCCACTCCTGGGGGAAGGATATTGCAAAATCTCTATTCCCACCCCACTCTGGGGCCACCCAGAGGTGTTATTTGCCAGTTCTCCGAACTACTCAAAATTTCCACTACTGGTTCTCTGAACTGCTCAAAATTTCTGCTACCGGATCTCCAGAACCTGTCAGAACCTGCTGGACTTCACCCCTGCTATGAGGGTATATTTATAGTACCTTCTTCACCTTTCAAGAAATGATAAAGTTATAGGTAGTCCTCATTTAATGACTGCAATTATGAGTTGGTAGTCACAATTGACACTTTCATTAAGTGACACATCATGTGACTAGCTGACTTATAGCCTCAATTCTGCTGCAGTCATTAAAAGAATAACATGTGGTCATTAACAATGACATTGTGTGACTGCAATTTGCAGCTTACTGCTGATTTTTCCATTGATTTTGCTTGTAGGAGGCTGGCTATGAAAGTTGCAAATTATAGTCACATGACCATAGATGATATGATTGTCATAAATGCACATTGGTTGCAAAGTGCCTGAATTGCTATAATGTGAATGTGGGACACTATGACCTTCGTAAATTTATGCTGCATACGAATCAGATCACTTGATCATGGACATGCTGCAACTGTTGTAAATTTGAAGTTCAGTCATAAAAGTACTTGTTCATTATTCTCATAAGCTTGAACAGTTGCTAAACAGTGCAATTGCAAACCAATGTTCTGTATGTATAAAACAATATTCAATACCAAAAGTATTTTTAATATTTTTCCTTAGGAAAATTGAAGAAATTTGAGAACGGTTCATGGTATGAAGTTACCCCTGAAGACCGTATGAAGATGACTAAATTGGATGGGCAAGTGTGGCTCGCTCTTTATAACTTACTCCTTAGCCCAGAATGCCAGCGCAAGTACGAATTCAATAACTTTAACAAAGGCCAGCTCCTCAAGGTACAGGATTGCAAAACTGGCCAATCTTTTATGTGTACTTCATGTTTTCCTTAGCATGTTTAGACATAATATTGTATTCTACTTTTAAACAATATAGCAGGGAACAGGAAAGGGATTGTTTAATATTGCATCAGATGATAACCCTTCTCACTATTGGATGTGGAAAGATACACACACCCACATATACATACATATAATGAACAACATAAATAAATTAGAATAAATATAGGGATGAAAGCCTTAATAAATAGGTCAAATTGTAGTTCATTCTTAGATAATCAATAACAAACAAATTTTAACTGTGAAATAGAATGTTAAAAGCTTTTTAACTTAAGAGTCCCTAGGTACCGTAATTTTGTTTTATTATGCTACAGAAATAGAAAATAAGTATGGAATGGAATTATAAGATTTTTTAAAAGTATAGTTTTTATTTCATTTCTGCTCTTAAAGCACAAAATGGCTATTCTATATTTATTAATTGCTTTAAAAATAAGTTAAATTTTATTGAAGTCTCAAAAAATATCTGTTTTTGAAATGTCTATCTCATTCTGTCAGTCGCCTACTATCTATGTTCTTATTAATATTGTTTTCTTGCTTTTAAAGCTGTTAACTGCCCAAAGTTTTATAGAATCAAGCTGTCTTTAAATTGTACAAAAAATAAATGAGATTTAAAATGTAATAAATAAAAGAGGGGGCCTAATGCTCAAATCAGTGGCCTGGACATTGTCAGAATGGTGGAAAAATGCATTTTGGGGGGCATGACTTCTTAGAGGCCCCAATGCAGCGGTGAAATCCAGCCAGATCTATCCAGCTCATGCGAACCGGTAGCGCCGGTGGTGGGAGGCTCCGCCCAATTGCTAGGACGTCATTATGTCTCATTTTTGACCCTCTGCACATGCGCAGAAGACTCTGTGCATGTGCAGAAGAGGTGCGCACGAGCATAGTGAGCACGAGTGCGTGCACGCTCACACTCCTTTTTTTTTTTTTTTTTTTTTATTGAAAAGGTTTTCAAATACAAATTTTTCCCCCTTTTTCCCCCCCCTCCCCCCCTCCCTAACCCCCCCTCCCCACCCTTCCCCCCCTGTGACTTCTTCGTAACAAAAAAAAACCCTAATTCATAACAGATTACTTACTCCCTCCTCAAAATACTGACCTTTACTTACTAAAAGTATTATAAATCCCCCTTTATCCATACATTTCAGAAAAGAAGAAGAGAAAAAAAACAAAAAAAAAACAAACACATTATACTATAACTATTATAAAATAACTTCTAATTTAGCATAATAGTGTTTTATATCTATACATTATTGCAACAATTCAAAACCACCTTCCACTTTAAAACTATACGATAAGTCCTACTTTAATAACATTTCAAAGCGGGCTCCCCATAAAATCTAATTTAACATTTATTCCACTCTATCCATTTCCTCCACTCCCCTAAATGTATCACTTAAAAATCCCTTTTCTTAAACTAATCAGTCTGTAGCTAGCTTATTCACCCACTGTCTTACAAATTTACCATACACAACAATTCTTGATATCTTTAATTCACTGCCCACACTACTTAAAAATATATATATATATATATTCCATTATATCTAAATAAAAAAAGAAAAGACAATAACTTTAAATTTATAGTCCATATAATATCTTCTTGAAGTCTTTCCACTGGATTGTTAAAACCAACATCCATAATAGGGTAACATAGCTTGCTGATGCAACAGTTTATTCAAGATCTCCAATCATATCTGCCCCCATCAGTAGTAAACATCTTCTTATATATATAAAAGTAAAAACAACCACCCGAGTGACATTATAATTATATTCCATATAATAATAATTGTGGGTTTCATCAGGATTATTAATTTCCATCATCGTATTGGGTAACAACCCGATCTTCTGCATGTCCCAATGTGATTCTCTTGCCTTATAATTCAAGATAATTATAATATATTTATCAACACAAAAAGAAGTTTCAAAGTAGATAATTCAAAACCATCAATTTGAGGCTCTTTCCATGTCCCAAAATTACGGCAATGCAGAGATCTGCCACTATCCTCAGGATGATATTGACCAATATGTCGCCTCCTCTATGTTTTCACATAATCATTCATATTTTAAAATCACTGGCTTCACTGTTGCTTGGGTTAGAAATTTCTATTTTTGTACAACCTATTTCTTTTTTTGTTTTCTTTTTGTGGGTTTGACTTCCATCCTAAACACGCTCACACTCCTGAACCGGTAGCAAAGGTAAGTGCATTTCACCGCTGCCCCAGTGTTGACAATATTCAGTCTAGTTCTTGTATGATTAATTTACACATATAATTTATTGAAGTGACATAATTTGCAAAAATGGCAAAATGGTCTTTTTTATTAGGGAGAAGACAACAGATACATTTATTAGTGTTTGAAAACCCTTTATAGGATTTTTTGCTAAAAACAGAAAAAAATGAAATGGAGATTTGAGGCAAAGAAATGAGTCTGGCACAGGAGAGATTGCTTAAAGTTCCCATAACATTTTTACAATCCAATTTTGTAATATAAAATATGCATGTCTCATTTAAAATGCTTTACAATATATTTTAGTTTCATCTTGTCTCTGTTTAGCTTCGTGCCTTCCTGACCGATGTTCTTGTTGACCAATTTCCCAATCTTTTGGAGATGCAGAAATTCCTGAGCCATCTGGCTGTAACAGATCCTGCTCCACCCAAGAAGGACCTCATACTGGAGCAGGTAATGTGCATTACTGCTACTTTTGTCCTATTCTTATGTTCCACAATCCCAGAGAATATCATTTATGTATCTCTATATTCTGAATACTTATATGACACACTAAAATACTGCATTACCTATTTGGGATTGCAATGGAAAACAATGTATAGAGTCTAGATATAGTAGCCATTTTACTTGCAAATATGTATTTTATTCTCTCATCAACAGAAGATGTATAACCAATGTTATTTTTACTAACTTTGCAGCCACTACAATAAAATCTATGAAACCAGAGGAAAACGTCTAGTTCTCACAATTTTCCTAGTTTCATGATATAAAATGTAGTTTTTTATCTTCTCTTTATTGAAAGTATATGGTGAAACTTTTTCTTATTAAGTTCCTGTTGGTTAGTTTTAATGACACTAATATTAGTTATTCCTCAAACAGGCTAGGATTCTAATTGTAGAGCTTATTAAACATGAACGATAGGACTTTAATTCAAACCACATTATAGTTTCTTCTTTTTACAAATGGGATTTACAAAAGAGGTCCCCCATATATTAATACCTGTCTATAAAAATGGGATTCCTATTTAATCTATTTATTTATTTTATTTATTTTATTCAATTTGTATACCGCCCTTCTCCTAGTCCTAGTGGACTCAGGGCGGTGCACAGCCAGAACAGTTTTGTCCCTGCTTTTTTTTCTTTAGGATAAATTTTCCTCAATATAAAAACTATAGTATTATATTTTTTCTTCAAGTTAATGTTTATCATCTCTTATCTTAGTGCTGTAAGAATTTCAAAATATTTTTGATATAGTATTTGAAAGAAGTAAGTGTTCTTTTCTTTTATTATCCAAACAGGTTCCTGAAATCTGGGATCAAGTAGTCAGAAAAAACTCTGAAAAATGGCAAGCAATAGCCAAGTACCAAGTAAACAATATGTTTAATCCTTCAGAAGAGGAGCTGAAAAGCCAGGCTTATGGGTAAGACTCATTCATATTCAGCTTCTTCCTCTGTCAAAGATTGTAATCATCACGATTATGAAGATACATGGAACTACTAACCCTATAGTCCACAATTTGAAAAATATAAAAATCATTTTTCTAATTCAATCAAGTTTAAAAATCATTTGCTTAATGTTGTATTCCAAAATCTTTGCCTTCAAAGGGCACTAAAGTCAATTTCATTGGTATCAATTCACTTTTAATAATGTTTTACCAAATATGAAATTAATGCGAGAGTTACATTTCTATTGTTGATACCACTGGATAATTGTTGCAGTTGTTATGTTTTATGAAGGCTGCTTTCTTTCTTAAATCAGATGGGCAAAGACATATAACCTGGATGTAATGGAAGCCCTAATTCCAGATAAAGCCAAGTGTGCAATGTGTGGCTCTGAGGCCACAAAACGCTGTTCCCGTTGTAGGAACGAATGGTATTGCAAAAGGTAAGTTTAAGACAACTAGTTTTCATGTTATCCTAAATCCTCCACTAATCTTACATGTACATAGATACCTAGAAACAAAAATAATACCAAAATTAAAAATATTACGAACACTACGAAATGTTAATTTTCATTTAACAGATTTTTACTTTCATGATTTGTTTACTGTAAACATCTCATTAGCTTGAGCTCTATAAACAAACATGCATGTGTATATATATATGCGTAGAAATATTTTAATGCATTAACATTTTAGTTCCCAGTTAAAACAAAACCATATTTTATTACATTGGTTTTGTTTGTGAAAAAAGTAGAACTCAGACTTACACTATCTCCATAGTATGTTTTGTAATTAATATTATCACTAATAATTAGGATACATGGAACATTTTCTCTTCAGTACAACGTGGACTCCCCTAAGAGTAGAGATTATCCAGAATTGGGTTATTCTTTCTGGTTGCTATAAGATAGAGTTTAATCATTTATTCAAGTTACTATTGAGGTTCCAATGGAGAAACCTATACAAGTTTCAGTGCTGCCTCTATAGGTAATACGATTGAGATTTATTTTACTATATTACTATATTTACTATATTACCAAAGTTATTTTCTCTCTTTGGTTATCATCTGACTGCTCTGTAACAGTAGAACATTAACTAAATAATGACATCTAAGGGGCTTGAATGTCCCTCAGAAGTTATGATGTATATTCAAGTATATATATATGTATATATATATGAGAATGAGATTTCACAGAACCAGGGCTGTAGAACAACTTAGTTTACGTAGTGATGTCTTTCTGTTGCCTTTGATAGGTGTCCACATATCTGTGTGCAAGCATATATGTGCCTGTGCAGGCATACTGAATATGTCTAGTCTGATGAAAAGAAGGACTAGGGGTGACATGATAGCAGTGTTCCAATATCTCAGGGGCTGCCACAAAGAAGAAGGAGTCAAGCTATTTTCCAAAGCACCTGAGGGTAGGACAAGAAGCAATGGATGAGAGGAGAGATCAAGGAAAGAAGCAACCTAGAACTAAGGAGAAATTTCCTGACAGTTAGAACAATTAACCAGTGGAACAACTTGCCTCCAGAAGTTGTGAATGCTCCAACACTGGAAGCTTTAAAGAAGAGATTGGATAACCATTTCTCTGAAATTATATAGGGTTTCCTGCCTAAGCAGGGGGTTGTACTAGAAGATCTCCAAAGACTCTTCCAATTATTCTATTCTATTCTATTCTATTCTATTCTATTCTATTCTATTCTATTCTATTCTATTCTATTCTATTCTATTCTATTCTATTCTATTCTATTCTATTCTATTTCCCAATTGTACCATTTATGAAATCATTTTTATGAATAAAAGAAATAATTTGACCCTCATGCAGATATTAACAGTAGTCAGAAAAAATTCAGAAAGTTTTTATAGTTATCATAACCATCATTATCATTACTATTTTTTTCATCTTTTACTCATCTTTAGAGAGTGTCAAGTGCAGCACTGGCAAAAGCACAAGAAAGCTTGCAACTTGATTGCTGATACGATGAAGAAAATACAAGAAGATGTACAGATGCAAGCAACATCCATTAAGTAATTCTGATGGTCAGAAAAAAAAGATCTCATTTAACAATATACAACATTCAGAATGACAGAGTAAAAAAGGCCACCAGGTTAATAATTAGTAAAATACATAGAAAGCTTTTTTAAAAGCATTTGATTTAACAAATGTCAGACAAATATCTTAGAAAAAAACATGATTCTTGAATTCTAGGAGATAAGTCTTCTTAGAGAACTATTTCTAGGGTCATTTAGCTCCCTTATGAATATCATTATCATTTATGTATCCTAGATTTTAGATGAGCATATGCTGGAATGCTCAAGCATTAGTGTCAAGCTCTGAGTTTCTTAGAAATTTGGAAGAGTTAAGTTTGGTTATAAGGTTATAAATGGAGGTTGTTTTTTGTTTGTCACTCAAGCTTCTTTAGCTTCTGAGGCCTATTTTGTAGTTTGCCTAATGCTACATACCTTTCCTATGGTATATATGCTTAACTAGTATTTCTGCAGCAGTGAATAACATCATAGGTAATGAAACTGACTTGCAAGACTTCTTCCTTCTTAAAAACAGAAATAGCTTGCAACCATTTGAGAACAAAAATCTGTGTCTTAATTTTAAAAGGGCCTTTTTGGTTTAATGATATTGCTAAGTTAAAAGACACAGATCTCCTAAGCATAACTATTTCCGCACTGTTGGAGACTTTCAAAATCTGATTTTGTTGTATCATTTTTTTCATTAGGACAAGAATTTTAAGATACTAGTTCAATCTTCTGCTTTCAGCTCTGTGAAATCACATTGATACATAAGTCTGGTCTGAATAATTTAGATATAATGAAAAATGAGAAGGATCAAGAGGTTGCATTGTTGACTACACCACAGTTTCTGAATTATACAAGTGTTTGGTTATATTTTTTTCCATGTCAGAACAACTGGCTATGAGGGAAGAGAAGAGGAAAGGATGTGGTAAATTAAGAATTTCAGTTTACTGAGCTGTATGGTTTCACAGTTGATGGTATATCACATGACATTTTCCAGCTAGTGAGAAAGCTGACTCTGTTATTTAGTACTTATTTTGTTAATAAAAGAACACTAATAATCTGCTATATATGAGTTTTAGTGCTGCTGAATAACTAATAATCTTATGCAAAAAAAAATCACAGGAAATGGAATACAATTCTAAATGGAAAATGTTTAATATCTATTCTTAATATTTCTAAGATCTTTAATAAATAACAAATTTTAGTTTATTTCTGAAAATTATAGCCCTCTAGCTTTTTCTTTCTAGCCAAAGTTGTGATTTTGAGAAAGGCATTTCTTAATATGCAGAATCCTCTTAAATTTGAATTTTGGAATTACATTTTTGCTCTATGTTCCAAATATTTTCAGTATGCTTTCTCTCTTCCCTGCCTCCATAATATAGTCCAAGGTTTAAGTGCCTTTGGAAAAAAAAATCTGAAATCTCAGTGATTTTGAGGAAAGATGTCAGGAATTCCCTCAAAACAGCCATACTATTTCTTCCCTTCTACCCTGATTAAAGACAATGAGTACATTCTTTAAATAAGCAACTTGACATATTCCAGGCTGTCTCTATATGCTTAGTTTTTTATACTATGAAGCTGAAATATCAATTGTTCAATAATGAATCAACTCAAGGTCTTTAAATGATAAAATCTCTGTAACAATTATTGTTTTCAGTCAGGATATCCTTAAATCATATGCATAACTCACGTTACAAATATTTCCTTCATTAATTTCCATTTTAGTTTTTCATAACATATTCTGATTACATGCCTCATTCCAGGAAAGCTGGAAACAAAAAAACCCATATGTATTGTCTTGCTAATAGGTTTTTAACTAATTGGCAGTGGTAGATGAGCTGCTGGCCACAAGACGGGAAAATATTCCAGCAGTTAAATTTATGTTGAACAATTGTTAACTTGGCTGACTTTAGACAACAGACCCTTCCTTATTATCCATGCCTAAAAAGCTCCTCCCATGTAGAACCTGCTGGATTTCACCCCTGGGAGAAACCATAATCTTTTCTTTGGTTGAGTGTTCAAAAAAGAAAATAGCTTTATGTTTATAAAGTCTAAAGTTAACCATTATTATAAGTAAGCCACTTTCTGACATCACATAATCATAACCAGTGTATCAGGTGAACTGTTTAAAAAGCTTTAGTATTAAATATAAGGAACAATGCAAGATTGGAGTGAGGACATGGAAATCCTCTCTGCATCTTGAGATTACAAACAGCTGCAGATTTAAGTTTCCAGGCGGGATAAAGATAAATACCAATAGTATTTATTGTTTCAGAGACCTCTCTAAATTTAATATTCCAGGGAAACAGCAAAAATAGGACAATTTCCAGTTTTTTCCAATGATATTTTTGGATTTGTTCAAATGGATTCTGTTTCTCATAAGAGTTCAAAACGCAGTGCCTGGAGCAAGCGGAAGGGCCTGCAACCCTCATGCTAGCTTCATTCTTTTTCCTCCTTTTGACTTGGAGATAATTTTAGAAAAAGAGTAAGCTCAGTAATATGAATCTATGGCAACCACCATCAACAATCTTAAGGACTTAGCCAAGATTTTCAGAAAGACTTTTGCTATGAATGCTGACAAAAGCTGTATTTAGTAAGATCAGCATGAGTGATTTCCTCTATCATGAAGCCACACAAACCAACTCATACTACAATTTACACCAGTGAGCAGGGCTAAACTATATACTTACACTAATGGCAAATCCATTCTTTTTCCCAAGTTTGGGATTAAAATGGAAGGGCTCACTTGTCTAGTCATTCCAGACTTTTATGTTGGTGAAAAGCAAGACGTCTGGAGAAGAACTTACGGCATCTCACATACTATATAATATTGGGGATCTGCTTGCAGCTTCTGAGTACCATCAAAGGCACTCTTCATGACCATGAACTTGCTTCTTCTGTGTGCCCACACTTATTACTCTGATCCAATTTGGGATGGGAGTTTAAAATTATTACTTCTGTCTCAATTGTTGGGAGTCATATAAGTGCATTGCCAATACATCACCATATGAAGGGGAAAGGATGGCAAGGCTTTCCTGCATTTTCAGTACAAAAAGAACAATATATTTCATACAGAAAATGTCTCAAAAAAGTCAGTGGAATCCAATCTGGTGAGGAAATCTCAGGACTGTAGCCTAAACTGAGAAATTGAGAAAACATATCTGAAGAAGGCAATGGCAATCCATTGTTACCAAGAAAACTATACGGATGTTTTTATGAAGTCATTAAGATTTGAGCTGGATTCAAAGAAGAGTTTACCTTTAATGGAAAATGGGAAGGAAGTTAATAGGAAACCTTATTTATATACAGTATACAGTAGAGATCCTAGAAGACTGAAGAGAGGCTGGAAAATAATACTTGCACAAAAGGAAAATACTTTTGAGCAATTGTTTTAAGCAAAGACAAAGCTTTGTTTGCAGGCTGGAAGTGCTAATCTCTAGAAGTAGATGCTCTTGTGGTTTCTTACCTCAATAAGCAAGCAGCTAACTAAACCACTGTAATTCTGAATGATAATCTGTTTTAAAATGCAGATTGCAAATAATCCACTGAGATCCATTACTTCACATGTAAAAGTTGGAAATATGATTTACAGGGTTTCCAGCTACATACGTAGCCAATTACTGTACCAACTGACAATTCTGAAAGCTGTAGTTCCAAGCATCAGGAAGGCCCTAGTTTAGGAAAGACTGGTTCGGAAAGCCTTTGCACCTGGAAGAAGTTGTGCGCACACAAAGAGCAATATTTCATCTAATCTGCTCAGGTGTTCCACATAAAGCAAGCATGGTGGCTAGCCACTTGCGGTCTTAAGCGGCTGTCCTAGGAGAAAGGTGGCTCCTGTCAGCTTTTGTCCAAATCAATAGTAGAGTTTGTTTTTAACAGTATCTGTTTGGAGACGGCAGGTGGGCACTTTGCCATCCCTATTTCTCCCAGGGCCATACTGCTGGCTCCCTCCCTCCCTCCCTCCCAGAGTTGACATCAGGCCCCACCCGTTGCAAGCCACGCTGTGGTTCTCAACTTCCACCCAGCAGCAGAACGCAGAGGGCGAGCCAAAGTCCAGCTTAGTGAGCAGCAGAGAAAGAGCAGGCAGGGTGGGATTGGTGGGGGGGGGAGGGGGAGATTGTAGCTTTCAACTTTCTCTATTCAACTTTCTCTACTAAAACTTCTTCTCTGTTTCAAAGCCAGCCGCCCCTCCGCTAAAAACCGCGGCGCTGTTCTACAGGATTCTTGCTTCGCGCATCTACCCCACCCTCCCGCCTCTTCAAGGGGGAGTTGCCTCGCTGCGAGACTACCGCTCTCCTCGAACCTGCGTGGGGCCGGTTCCTATGCGGGTGCAGTGCAGTCACTTCTTGTTCCGGAGGTGCCTTAAGGCGGGAAGTGAGGAGGGGGAGCGTCGGCTCCAAAGCTTCCGAAGCTTTGGGCACCGCCCGCATCTCTCTCTCTCTCTCTCTCCCTCCCCCTCCCCTCCATCCCATTGCTGGGAAGGGGGACCTGAATTAAAGAGGAGGCGAGCTGAGGCTTCTCCGCTGATCGCTTGAGCGCATTAAAAAAAACAAAGTTTCTGAGCAGCCCTTTTAAAGACGCAGTCCGAGTTAACACAGCCGTCGCCGCCTTCCTCCCCAGACTTTTACGCGCGGGAGAAGAAGGCCGTTGCCGTAAAGCCCAGAAAGCCACCCCGTTTGTTATAGGGAAGAATGGGGTGAGAGAAGAGGAGGAGGAGGACAAGGCTCCGCTGACTGAACTCTGGCAAAGAAAGATCCCCTGTGGTTTTGTTCGGACCGCTTCAAAACGGAGGGAAGGCAAGCGGAGAGCTGGAGCGAAGAAACCGCACGAGAGGGCAAGGATTCCGACGAGCTCTGAGGGTGAGGATGGGAACGCCCCCGGGCCCCCGATGAAGGACTCCATGCGGGTTCCCAAGCTCTTGCTTCCCTTCCGCCCTCGGCGCAAGAAGGGGCCATGAACCGTCCCACGCACCAAGAGATGATCGAACTGCAGAACCTGGGGCTGGAGGAGCAGCTGGACCTGACGCGCGGCCCGCGAGGCGCGGCCGACCGCCCCGTCCGCTTAGAGCGCGCCAACGCCTTGAGGATCTCGCCCGGGAAAGTGCCCGAGCTTTTGACCCGCGTTCGCCAGATCCGTCTCCTGGGCGGCCAGACCGATCCTAAATTAACCGAGGAGCTCGGCGAAGGACACCTCTTCAGATCCTGCACTCAGAGTCAACCCACTTGGTGCGATCTGTGCGGGGAGTTCATCTGGGGCGTCTACAAAAAGCGTCTCCGCTGCATTTGTGAGTACCGGAGCTTAACTTTCCTCAAGTCCCGCTCGCAGAAATTTCGGGGAGAAACAGAAGGGCGGGAGGTAATGCCTAGTGGAGGATGCGTAAAGTGGCCAATTGGGGTACCGTTAGTAGCTTTACAGTTTGGGGTAGGTTTAGTTAGCACCGTTGCTCCTATTCCATGCAAAAACCGCCTCCGGTTGTTACCTTGTTTCCGGCTGAACTTTTGTAACAACTGAGTAAGGCAGGCACAGATTCAGCAGGGGAAAAACTGATTAATTCTCTTTTTAAAAAGTGCAGTTTAAGAGCTGTGCAAGAAAACCAAAGTGACAGATCCCCTGAAAGTGGTATTTTGCATTGGTTCAAGATTTCCTTGAAAGCTGTGTATTGGGGGAAATAGCATTTCCTACAGACTCTGTATCCAGAGCAACTATTGAACATGGGCATGCAATACAATTAGGTCTTTTTTTCCTTTTCAATTTCTTTACCATCATTGGTGATGCAAGCTGACTGTGTGCTGTGTGTAAGAGAATACTAAAGAAGGGGGCTAATTAGGGTGTGGGCAAATGTGTCACAGTGTGTCTGTGAGGGTCTAATGGGAGGACTGAGGTGCATGTTCCCTGTGGAGCTGTTTCTGCTCTTCCATTGTGTTTTTGTGTATTTGTGCACTGGGAAGCCCAGGATGGGTAGGATACCCTGTGCTGTGGACTATAGCTATGTGCTATAGGACTCACTAGGAGAGAGCCAGAGAAGAGCTTAGTATGGAGCAATCGGCAACATTCCAGAGCCGCTGCCCAGCTGTTTCTCCTATAGAGGTTTCCTTTCTGGAAATGTTTTGCCACAACTCCTGGCCACAACTGGCCCATATTTGAACTCAGTCTTCTTTTTGTAGGCTTTTTGTACAAAATTTGGTCCAGTTTTGTTTGGATTAGGGAGAATAATCCTGT